TTCCTTTATACTGGGACCTTTTGGCAAAAGCTGTTCTAACTCCATCTCAGCATTTACAGTTCTGCAGCTGGTGGTCAGAGGAGGACCGCCTGCAGGCTCAGCTAAATTGGGCTGATGGCATTCCAATTACTCAGGCTCAGCTCACAGGCTCTGATAACACTCTGATACTACCACTCAATTAGGCTTTGATGCTCTCACCACGGAACAAGTAACAAAGCTATGTATGAGAGCTTGGGATAAATTACGTGCCCCAGGCCAAGCTCCTGTTTCTTTTACTACAGTTAAACAGGGTCACAATGAATTATATCCTGATTTTTTGGCTAAATTACAAGATGCTGTTGAAAAATCTGTCTCTGATGAGCACGCTCAAGGTATTCCCCTTCGTATGTTAGCTTTTGAAAATGCGAACCATGAGTGTAGAACGGCCACGTGTTCCGGCCAACGACAAAATTTACCTGATCACGAGGTATTGCCTGCATATATGAAGGCTAGTGAAGGCATTGGATCAGACACACACGAAGCTATTGTGGGCACGGGCCATGAAGGATGGCAACCAAACTGGCTCGACTGATTATTTTCTTGGAGCCTGCTATAATTGTGGTCAACTTGGTCACACTAAAAAAAAAATTGCACTGTGAAAAACTTAAAAGCAGCCAAGTTGGCTCAACAAACACGGTCAAATGCTCCTGCTACCGTTTGCCTGCGTTGTCATAAAGGTAAACATTGGGCAAGTACTTGCCACTCTAAGTCTGATATAGATGAAAATCCCTTGCCACAGAACCAGGGAAACGGGAAGCGGGGCCAGCCCCAGGCTCCAATATCAAATGGGACACCTCAGACTCAGACCAACATTGCATTTCCCCTTCAAGCAGTCCCAACACAGCCCCCAGCACAAACAAATTTACCTACAGCCAACCCAGATGGGTCTCAGTCTCTTCTTCTGTCTCAGTACAATGTTTGTGTACCTCCACAGTAGGGGGCGGGGAGGCCGATCTCTGTAGTACCATTCCTCTAAATTTACCACCTAATTTTTTGCCTTTAATTGTCCCCATGGGGGTCACTGGCCCTTTACCTCAAGGTTCGGTGGGCCTGGTGTTAGGCAGGGCATCCACCTTTGCTAAAGGTATCATAGTTCATACCTGTCTCATTAATTGATTCCTCTGATGAGATTAAACTCATCGTGTCTGCCAAAGTTCCTGTTTCCATTCTGGCTGGTGAGTCCACTGCTCAATTACTTTTACTACCTAATATTGTTTTAAACAAAGGAGATAAGACACAGGGTCCTGGGATGGGCTCCGGTGGTGAAAAAGCCACTTATTGCATTAATGTAATTGCTAAACAGCAGCCCACCTACACCATACACATTCAAGGGAAAAAGTTTGAGGGCCTAGTAGATACCGGGGCTGCGATTTCTATTGTGTCCTCTAATTTACGGCCTTCATCCTGGCCTAAACATCCCGCTAACATGAGATTAGTAGGTGTTGGAAAAGCTGATGAAGTTCACCAGAGTATGTTTATCTTGCCTTGCACTGGCCCTGATGGTCAAAAGGGAACAATTCGCCTTATATCACACCAATCCCCGTTAATCTTTGGGGAAGAGATTTGCTGGCACAGTGGGGGGCTGAAATTAATATTCCACATAACTCTTATAGTGCTCCCAGTCAACATATAATGGAAAACATAGGGTTTGTTCCTGGATTCGGTCTCGGTCCAAAACCTGAAAAAATTACTAAACCTCTTCAAGTTACTGTAAAAGAAGACAAGGCTGGTTTAAAAGCATAATTTAACCACTCCCCACTCCCAATTACATTTAGCATTGTTTACTTTAAACTTTCTAAATGTTCCTAAAGAAAATACTCTGACTGCAGCTAAATGCCCTTATACAGGCAAAGAATTCTCCCTAAATGAAGGCAAGCCAGTGTCACGGAAAAACTCCCAAACCAATACCTGGGAACCTGGAACAATTATAACGTGGGAAGAGGGTATGCTTGCATTTCACCAGGATATCATCAATCCCCTGTCTGGGTGCCCACTAGGAGACTTAAACTTTGTGTAAATACTGACAATAAAAACCACAGGGAAGGCCGGGCGCAGTGGCTCACGCCTGTAATCCCAGCACTTTGGGAGGCCGAGACGAGAGGATCACGAGGTCAGGAGATCGAGACCATCCTGGCTAACACGGTGAAACCCCGTCTCTACTAAAAATACAAAAAATTAGTCGGGTGCAGTGGCGGGTGCCTGTAGTCCCAGCTACTCCGGAGGCTGAGGCAGGAGAATGGTGTGATTCCGGGAGGCGGAGCTTGCAGTGAGCCGAGATGGCGCCACCACACTCCAGCCTGGGTGACAGAGCAAGACTCCGTCTCAAAAAAAAAAAAAAAAAAAAAAAAAAAAAACCACAGGGAAGAGACGTCTGCATCAGAGACCGCCCTCATACCTGGTGAGATCTGTGCTGACTGCTTAGAAACTGGCACGCCAAATCAAAATGGGTCTGGTTCAATCCTCCCTAATGGCAACGGAGACCCCTCTAACTAATCCCACTTCTCCTAATTCCCTCTTTTTCTCCTTACGAACCTAAAAATCTCACCATTTCTATTAGCCTGAAAATAACATCCCTCTGTTCTTCTTTTCCTCCTTCAGCACTGGATCTTGCTTACAATAGGTTTTATTTAATAACTATCTTCCTTATACTTTCTGTCTCACCAGTTTCCCCTCAAACTGATTTACCTGCTACACAAAACTATTCTTACTGGGCTTATGTGCCTTTTCCTCCACTTATTCAACCTCTCACCTGGATGGATGCTCCTGCGGAAATCGATACTAATGATAGCGTGTGGATGTCTGGTGCTACAGATGACCATTGCCCTGCTCAACCAGGAGAAGAAGGCACTGCATTTAATGTTACTATGGGTCATAAATACCCTCCTCTGTGCCTCGGACATGCACCTGGTTGTATCCATCCAGAAACTCCAAAGTCTGGGCTCCTTGTCTTCCAGAGAGATTAGCTACAGGGAAATGGGGACATTTGGTCTCCGGCCTCCCCCTTTCTCCTTTAAGACAAATAAAAAGGGGAGTAATAGGAGATACCCTATACTTTCAATATAAACCTGTAGGAAAACCATGTCCTAAAAATTTTGAGGGCCCATCTAAAACTTTAATTTGGGAAGTTTGTGTTAACTCACATGCACTAGTATTAAAAAATGACTCGGCCGGGCGCAGTGGCTCATGCCTGTAATCCCAGGCATGAGATTTGGGAGGCCAAGGTAGGCAGACCACGAGGTCAGGAGATAGAGACCATCCTGGCTAACACGGTGAAACCCCATCTTTACTAAAAATACAAAAAATTGGCCGGGCAAGGTGGTGGGCGCCTGTAGTCCCAGCTACTCGGGAGGCTGAGGCAGGAGAATGGCATGAATCCGGGAGGCAGAGCTTGCAGTGAGCCGAGATCACACCACTGCACTCCAGCCTGGGCGACAGAGCAAGACTCTGTCTCAAAATAAAAAAGACTCATATGGTTTAGTAATAGACTGGGCACCAAAGGGCTATTTAAAAAACAACTGCTCCTCTGGCAGAAGGGAATGCCTGGTGGCTACTTATTTTATTTCTTACTGGGAGGAACAGGATCATCATCCTATTTTGCACAGAAGGTTCAGCTCGCTCTTTCCCTTAAGATGGGAAGATAAGGGCATTACCCCCCTGAGGCCTTGTATGATATTCCCCATTCTGAGCCCAGAACGCCCAGAACTTTAGAAATTGGCTATTGCCATGTCTGGACTGTGAGTGTGGGAAGGGGAAACTTTTCTGTCTGTTGTTCCCACTACCGTCCCTCACATCCGTGATTCTGAACCCCATGATAAATCCCCTTTGAACCTTTTTCCTCTTTTTGATGCCGATTCCCCCTTTATTGGACTCCACTAGCAAGGGTGCATTTAACCTTCCTGAGCTTGCCCACCTGACACATGCAGCCAAGAAGCTTTGAAAGAGAGTGCCCTGGCCAAGGGTTCCAGGTCTCAGCAAGGCCACGAGGTGGTGACTGCCTCCCAGAACTCTGTCAGGCCACCTTCTGTCCTGGAGATCCCCAAAACCTCCATAGCGACAGCTCTGCCCACCCACACACGCAGTCAGCCTTCCCTCCCGAGTCCACCGCCGGCTGAGGGCCAGCCACCCTGCCTCCCATAGCCACCATCCCTGGGAAGGAGCCCTGACCCTGTCCTTACACCCCTCTACACTCACTGCCTGTGGGGAGAGCTGCTCGCTGTCACAGGCATCCAGGGGGCAGGGTCGAGGGGCCCCCTGCATGGTGGGGGACCATGTTGTCGTGCATGGAATGAAACTGGCCACACATAACAGATATGGTGGCGCTTTGGCGAGCTCTGGGGGAGTCTGTCCTACACGGTGAGGTTTGAACCCTCCTGAGTGACCAGACACCCAGCGTCTGCTTCAAGTGCTCAGTTATAATTATCGTCCGGATTTGGTCAACTGTTCCTCAGGGGCTCCAGGAGGATGAGTGTGTATCCTCCCCTTGCTCTGTGCAGCCTCTAACCTCTAGAGTCTACTAGGGGTCTGGGAAGAACGTGGGAAGTCTGGCCAGTGGGGCCGGCGGCTGGTGACCTCAGGAAGTGGGATATCATCATCTTCAGAACTGTAGTTGTTACTGGGACACCAGCTCCGGGAGATCACAGGTGCAGCCAGCACAGCAGGACCTTAGACAAGGCTGGGCTCAGTTTCCCCATCTGGGAAGGGGGCTGCCTGTGGCTAGAAGCAGCCCGAACTCCTGAGCAAGACTAGACCAAGAGGCCGGTGTATGGACACCCCCGCGTGGGCACCCCCACGGGGACACCCCGGCCACCGCCGCGCGGACACCCTCACGAGGACACCCCGGCCGCGCGGACACCTACCACGGGGACGCCCCGACCCCATCCTACCTGCCGCGCCCCGCGCAGCGCCCCGTACCCCGCCCGCCACGGCCTGCGTCCGCCACCGGAAGCGCCCTCCTAATCCCCGAAGCGCCACCGCCATCGCCGCCATCCTCGCGGGGCTTCTCGGGCGGCTGGGGCTGCCCGCCGCGCTGCCTGCGCCGGACCGTGGCGGGTCCAGTCCCGGGCGCGCCGCCGCGGTAGAGGTGAGAGCGGCGGCCAGAGCCAGAACCCCGCCAAATGGGGCAGGATTCGCGGCGGGGGCCTTCAGACCTAGGGTGGAACATTGGGATAGGGTGTGGGGAATTCGGACCGCTGTGAAGGGATCTGACTTTGGGTGGGGGTCTCCGGACTTGGGGTGGGGGATGTGGATAGGGACTGGGGAATTCGAAGCGCTGTAAAGGGATCTGACTTTCGGTGAGGGTCTCTGGACCTGGGGTGAGGGATCTGACTTGGGGTGGGGAGCCCTGGATGGGGAGTGAAGGGATCCGACCTGTGGTGGGGGTCTCCGAACCTGTGTTGAGGAGCTCCGGATGGGGGTGGGGAATTCGGACCTTGGGTGGGGATCTTTGGACCGGGGTGGGATCCCCAGACTCCTTGTGGAAGGCTGAGGTTGAAGATCTGTGCTGAGGTGAGGGGCTTTAGATAGCCCTGGGAGATCCCGCTTCAAGACTGGGTTGGGGGTCCAGACCAGGAGGATAAGCCTATCCCTGGAGTAGGGCTTGACCTGGTGAGGGTGTGGCAGAATCACAGGGGAGGGTCCCACTTGGTCCTTGGGCTGGGATCAGACTCTTAGAGCTGGAGAGTTGCAGGGGGCCTGGGGGAGGGTCTGAGGAGCCCCAGATTCAGAGGGCCTTGGTGACCTCTCCAACAGGTTCCCTGTTGGAGGCCTTGGGGAACCCCAGGGCCTTTCCCTGCAAGAGAATGGCTGCTTCACCAGGAAGGGGCCCAGGACTCCACAGGGTAGGGGGCTGTGTGGTGCGCAGGACCACGTGGGAATGGTAGAGAAAGGGGAAGTCACTTTGGGCTTGCCTTGCTAACAGACCTGCTTTTTGGATTTTTCCACCGGGGGATTTTTGTGTCCTGTTGCTGTTTATTGTTTAAAGTGACCCCCCAAGCCTGAGGGACCATAGGAGCTGCCCTGCAGAGCCCAGTGAGACACTAGTTAATGGAGAAAAAACAGCTTTTACTTGGTAACTACTGACAACATGAGAAAAAGCTGGCTCCATGCTGATTTGACTAGACGTGCCTGGAGTTTAAAGGGAGAGTGAGGGAGAGGGAAGGGGTGGGGACTCAGTAGAGTTAGGGAAATAGAAAATCACCAAAACCGGGAAGGGAGGGTTAGCCCCTGTGGAACCAACTGATCTGGGTTTGCCACTGGGGCTTACCGAAGTCAGGCCCCCAACCTCCCACAGAGCCTGGGAGACAGGGGCCCCATCCTCAGGTGTTGGCTGGAACACACAGGAAATTCTTGTGGCAGCCTTGAGCTTCTCAGGCAGACACTTTTAAAGGGTGCTAGGATCGTTCTGGGAATGTGGCCTGGAGCTGTTAGGAGCTGTTAGTGTTCGTTCCAGTCTAGATAGGCCAGGGCGAGGCCCAGTGGAGAAGGGGACCCCAAGGAGCCTGGCTGGAGTGTGGGGAGGGAGGGTCTTTGTCAGTACCCCTCCTGTGCAAGAAGAGCAGAGACATGCTTCTTTCCTCTCAACAGTACCCCCTTTGTTTCACATGTCCGTGTGAAGAGATCACCGAACAGGCTTTGTGTGAGCAACATGGCTGTTTATTTCACCTGGGTGCAGGCGGGCTGAGTCCGAAAAAGGAGTCAGCAAAGGGTGGTGGGATTATCATTGGTTCTTATAGGTTTTGGGATAGGCGGTGAAGTTAAGAGCAGTGCTTTGGGGGCAGGGGTGGATCTCACAAAGTACATTCTCAAGGGTGGGGAGAATTATAAAGAAACTTCTTAAGGGTGGAAGAGATTATAAAGAACTTTTTTTAGGATGGGGGAGATGACAAAGTACATCGATCTGTTAGTGTGTAGCAGAAACAAATCACAATGGTGGAATGTCGTCAGTTAAGCTATTTTCACTTCCGTGGATCTTCAGTTGCTTCAGGCCATCTGGATGTATACGTGCAAGTCACTGGGGATGTGATGGCTTAGCTTGGGCTCAGAAGCCTGACACCCTCCATTTTCTGTTCTGTGTGGTGTTCATAAAGTACCAGCGGGACCATCTGTTGAGACTTGGTAGCAAAGGATTTTTGCTGGATGATGGAAGCAGTCAGGCATTTAGAGGAAACAAAAATAGTAGCAGGCTGGGCACGGTGGCTCCTGTCTGTAATCCCAGCACTTTTGGAGGCCGACGAGGATCATGTGAGGCCAGGAGTTTGAAACCAGCCTGGGCAACGTAAAGACCCCATCTCTACAAAAAATTAAAAAGTTAGCCCAGCGTGGTGGGATGGGCCTTTAGTTCCAGCTACTTGGGAGGCTGAGGTGAGAAGATCGTTTGAGTCTGGGAGGTGGAGGCTGCCGTGAGCCGTGATCGTGCCTGTATACTCCAGCCTGAGCAACAGAAAGAGGTCCTATCTTAAGGAAAAAAAAAAAAAAAAAAAAGAAAGAAAAACAAAGATGAATGGTTGAAGCTGTCGATAAACCCAGTTTTTGAGCCTACAGGGCAGCAGTTGAGGTTTCCGGCCCTGGGGCCCTAACGAGGCCAGCAGGGGCACTCAGGGATTTCCTGGGGTGTGGTGTGAAGTTTGTGATGATGGCATAGGCATCGGTATCCCAGTTGTGGTTACTTCCTGGAGAGAACATGGGGCATGCAGGAGCTGGAGGGGGGTCCTCCTGGGCGGTCTGTGTGGCAGCGGCTCCAGACCAAAGGCTGCCCGTGGATAATCTGTTGTGGTGCTGAGTTCTTTCAAGTTTATATCAAGCTTTCCAGCTTCAATCTGCAGGGCTTTTTTTTCAGATCCTGGGGGCAAAGGGCAGCTACAAGACCACCTGAGTCCCAGTGGGGATTTGAGTTCTTGGTGACACCAAGTCAGCGAGGAGACAAATTGGAAATGTCAGTCTGGAGAGAGTGGTAGGTAGCCAGATACTGAAGGAAAGTAGATGGGAGGATTTGGTAAGGGCTGGCGTGTAGGAAGGCAGTGACAGTCCAAGAAAACAGGCAGATCATAAAACCTCAAGGATAGGCCGGGCCCTGTGGCTCATGCCTGTAATCCCAAGCACTTTGGGAGGCCGAGGTGGGCAAATCAGCTGAGTCCAGGAGTTCAAGACCAGCCTGGCCAACATGGCAAAACCCTGTCTCTACTAAAATTACAAAACATTATCCAGGCGTGGTGGTGCATACCTGTAATCCCAGCTACTCAGGAGGCTGAGGCAGGAGAATCGCTTGAACCTGGGAGGTGGGGGGGCTGCAGTAAGCCAAGATCGCACCACTGCACTCTAGCCTGGGCAACAAAAGCGAAACTCCGTCTCAAAAAAAATTAGGCTGGGTGTGGTGGCTCACACCTGTAATCCCAGCACTTTGGGAGGCCAAGGCGGGTGGATCACAAGGTCGGGAGATCAAGACCATCCTGCCTAACACAGTGAAACCCCATCTCTACTAAAAATACAAAAAATTAGCCGGGTGTGGTGGCGGGCGCCTGTAGTCCCAGCTACTCGGGAGGCTGAGGGAGTAGAATGGTGTGAACCCAGGAGGCAGAGCTTGCAAGGAGCTGAGATCACGTCACTGCACTCCAGCCTGGGTGACAGAGTGAGACTCCATCTCAAAAAACAACAACAACAAAAAAAAAAAAACACCTCAAAGAGTGAACTAGACTAGGATCTGATAACTCCCAAGAGGGTGTTATATTTCTCCACTGAAGCATAGCATTTCTCTTTACTTCCCTTTTTGATTGAAGATAATCAAAGTAAGATTATTCTTATTTACCAAGTAATTCTGGTCTCATTAAATTTGGCCTGATTATTTACACAAATGCAGCACGAATGGTAATTGACCACACAGGCCTTTTTAAGTTTGCTGAAACTTTTAATAGGGAATCTTAGATTGAGCTTTTTTTTTTTTTTTTTTTTTTGAGACGGAGTCTTGCTCTGTCACCCAGGCTGGAGTGCAGTGGCCGGATCTCAGCTCACTGCAAGCTCCGCCTCCCGGTCACGCCATCTCCTGCCTCAGCCTCCGAGTAGCTGGGACTACAGCGCCCGCCACCTCGCCCGGCTATTTTTTGTATTTTTAGTAGAGACGGGTTTCACCGTGTTAGCCGGGATCGTCTCTCGATCTCCTGACCTCGTGATCCGCCCGTCTCGGCCTCCCAAAGTGCTGGGATTACAGGCTTGCGCCACCGCGCCCGGCCAAGATTGAGCTTTTAAAAGCCTTTTGAGGTTAGGAAGCCAAGCCAAGAACTTCCAGCCAGACTTCACCTGCAGTGCCTATAGATTTGCGTGAATTCCTCTCTTCTTGAGGTCCCTGAAATATCTCAAGGTTCCTGGGCCTCGGAACCTTGGGATATTTGGAAGAGACTTTCCTTACTCAGTTGTAAGACCAAGAACCCCTTAAGCCAGATACCAGGCCAGATTTTTCAAGAGCTCTTTGCAAGCAATGGCTCCACAAAGTCAACCTGAAAGCCATCTGGTCATACCTGATTCTATGTACATCATTCTCAAACAGGACATTCCAGTCCAAGCCTTGGTAATATAGCCAGTGTTTCCAATTGTGTCCTGTTACAAGGAGAACAGATTCTTATTGAAGTTATGCGATAACTATATTGCCATGAAAATAGGAATACTCAATAATAGTTTCTGATTTTTGGAGGGATCAGGCCGGAAGAAAAAGATAATTGCTTCAATTTTGTTTAGAGAAGTATCATTTACTATAATATTACGAGTCATTGATAGGTTAAGGAAAACGGAAAGGTTTCTTTTTTTTTGAGGCGGAGTTTCGCTCTGTCGCCCAGGCTGGAGTGCAGTGGCAGGATCTCAGCTCACTGCAAGCTCCGCCTCCCATGTTCACACCATTCTCCTGCCTCAGCCTCCTGAGTAGCTGGGACTACAGGTGCCTGCCACCACGCCTGTCTAATTTTTTGTATTTTTAGTAGAGACGGGGTTTCACTGTGTTAGCCAGGATGGTCTCGATCTCCTGACCTCGTGATCCACCCGCCTTGGCCTCCCAAAGTGCTGGGATTACAGACATGAGCCACTACACCAGCCTGCTGTGTTAACTTCTAACAAGGCCTAAATAGCATTATTATTATTATTTTTTTTTTTTTTGACAGAGTTTTGCTCTTGTCACCCAGGCTGGAGTACACGATCTCAGCTCACTGCAACCTCTGCCTCCCTGGTTCAAGCAATTATCCTGCCTCAGCCTCCCGAGTAGCTGGGACTACAGGTGCCCACCACCACACTGGGCTAATTTTTGTATTTTTAGTAGAGACAGGGTTTCACCATGTTGGCCAGGCTGGTTTTGAACTCCTCACCTCAGATGATCCACCCACCTCTGCCTCCCAAAGTGTTGGGATTACAGGCGTGAGCCACCACGCCTGGCCCTAAATAGCATTTTTTATTTGACAGCACATTGCATGAAATTATGTAGGGACCAGCCCTACAGGGTCTGTGGGTTTTTCGCCCCGTGTGCAGAGATGAGAGATCGTAGAAATAAAGACACAAGACAAAGAGAAGAAAAGACAGCTGGGCCCAGGGACCACTACCACCAAGGTGCAGAGACTGGTAGTGGCCCCAAATGCCAGGCTGCACTGTTATTTATTGGATACAAGGCAAGGGGGCAGGGTAAGGAGTGTGAGCCATCTCCAATGATAGGTAAGGTCATGTGAGTCACGTGTCCACTGGACAGGGGGCCTTTCCCTGTTTGGCAGCTGAGGCAGAGAGAGAGAGGAGACAGCTTACGCCATTATTTCTGTATTTCAGAGACTTTTAGTACTTTCACTAATTTTGTTACTGCTATTTAGAAGGCATAGCCAAGTGTACAGGATGGAACATGAAGGCGGACCGGGAGCGTGACCGCTGAAGTACGGCATCATAGGGAGACAGTTAGGCCTCCGGATAACTGCGGGCGGGCCTGACTGATGTCAGACCCTCCACAAGAGATGGTGGAGTAGAGTCTCCTCTAACTCCCCTGGGAAAGGGAGGAGACTCCCTTTCTCGGTCTGCTAAGTAAGGGGTGCTTTTTCTAGGCACTGACGCTACCGCTAGACCAAGGTCTGGTTACTAGACCAAGGTCTGCTAGGTAACCAGCGTCTTCCCAGGCGCTGACGTTACCACTAGACCAAGGAGCCCTCTAGTGGCCCTGTCCAGGCATAGCAGAAGGCTCACACTCTTGTCTTCTGGTCACTTCTCACCGTGTCCCTTCAGCTCCTATCACTGTATGGCTTGGTTTCTCCTAGGTTATGATTGTAGAGCGAGGATTATTATAATATTGGAATAAAGAGTAATTGCTACAAACTAATGATTAATGATATTGATATATAATCATATCTATAATCTGTATCTAGTGTAACTCTTCTTATTTGATATATTTTCTTTATTATACTGGAACAGCTTGTGCCCTTGGTCTCTTGCCTCGGCACCTGGGTGCCTTGCTGCCCACAAAATTTGCCATTGAAATAAACCTAGTGGCCGGGCGTGGTGGCTCAAGCCTGTAATCCCAGCACTTTGGGAGGCCGAGACGGGCGGATCACGAGGTCAGGAGATCGAGACTATCCTGGCTAACACGGTGAAACCCCGTCTCTACTAAAAAAATACAAAAAACTAGCCGGGCGAGGTGGCGGGCGCCTGTAGTCCCAGCTACTCGGGAGGCTGAGGCAGGAGAATGGCGTAAACCCGGGAGGCGGAGCTTGCAGTGAGCTGAGATCCGGCCACTGCACTCCAGCCTGGGCGACAGAGCGAGACTCCGTCTCAAAAAAAAAAAAAAAAAAAGAAATAAACCTAGTTAGTTTAACATCTCTCTTACAAGGTCACAGGACAGATCCTCTGAGGTCTTCAGGGGCCCTCCAGGAAATCTCAAGTCAGTTTGCGATCAAGACAATGTCATAGGCCACATGCAGTGGCTCACGCCTATAATCCCAATACTTTGGGAGTCCGAGGAAGGAGGATTGCCTGAGCCCAGGAGTCTGAGACCAGCCTGAGAAACATGCTGAGGCCCTGTCTCTACAAAAAAAAAAAAAGAAAAATTAGCTGGGCATGGTGGTACATGTCTGTAGTCCCATGTACCCTGAAGACTGAGGCAGGAGGATCACTGGAGCCCAGGAGTTCAAGGCTGCGGTGAGCTGTAATTGTACCACTGCACTCCAGCCTCGGTAACAGAGTGAGACTCTGTCGCTGAAAAAAATTTAGGTCGGGTGCGGCGGCTCATGCCTATAATCCTAGCATTTTGGGAGGGCAGATCACCTGAGATCGGGAGTTTAAGACCAGGCTGGCCAACATGGCAAAACCCCGTCTCTACTAAAAATACAAAAAGTAGCTGGCTGGCCGGGCGCGGTGGCTCAAGCCTGTAATCCCAGCACTTTGGGAGGCCGAGACGGGCGGATCACGAGGTCGGGAGATCGAGACCATCCTGGCTAACATGGTGAAACCCCGTCTCTACTAAAAAGTACAAAAAACTAGCCGGGCGAGGTGGCGGGCGCCTGTAGTCCCAGCTACTCGGGAGGCTGAGGCAGGAGAATGGCGTGAACCCGGGAGGCGGAGCTTGCAGTGAGCTGAGATCCGGCCACTGCACTCCAGCCTGGGCGACAGAGTGAGACTCTGTCTCAAAAAAAAAAAAAAAAAAAAAGTAGCTGGCTGTGGTAAAGTGTGCTTGTGGTCCCAGCTACTTGGGAGGCTGAGACAGGAGAATTGCTTAAGCCTGGGAGGCAGAGGTTGCAGTGAGCCCAGATCACACCATTGCACTCCAGCCTGGGTAACAGAGCAAGGCTCTGTCTCAAAAAAAAAAAAAAAAAAAGAAACTTTGTACATAAATACATTCAATGATTATGAGATCAATTCTAGCCAGCTTTGACCTCATAACATAACGATTCTTTTCTGCAGACTTTCTTGAGGCCAGGAGTTCAAGACCAGCCTGGGAAACACAGGGATAACTTTCTGTATCCATTCACGTTTGGTTTTGTTTTGAGACAGAATCTCAGTCTGTCACCCAGGATGGAGTGCAGTGGCGAGATCTCAGTTCACTGTAGCCTCGACCTCCTGGTCTCCAGCGATCCTGCTGCCTCAGCCTCCCAAGTAGCTGGGACTACAGGCATGTACCACCACACCAGGCTAATAATTTTTTTTTTTTTTTTAATAGAAACAGGGTTTCACCAGTTACCCAGGCTTGTCTCGAATTCCTGGGCCATTCACGCTTTGTCCTATATTTTTCCTCTTTTTGTAATTTTACTTCAGGATAAAATTACATCCCTTTCTTTAACAAAAACAGTCTACATTCTTTGCATACTTTTCATATAAAAACACATCCTATTTTCCTCTCATACTTTGTATACAAAATTGTTTCCCTCATTCTTATTGTTTCTAGGAGTTTTGTTTTCATATATTGATTATAATTTTTAACCTTTAGTAACCGGTATGTTTTTTTTTTTAAGAGACAGTCTTGCTGTGTTGCCCAGGACTCACTGCACCCTTGAACTCCCGAGCTCAAGTAATTCTCCGACCTCAGCTTCCCAAAGCACTGAGATTACAGGCATGAGTCACCACGCCTGGCCATACTTGTATTTTACAGAGAAAAGTAGGAAGAAGACAATTGGAAATTGTCTGTCATTTAGCAGTTTATTAGCAAATTTTATGAATATACTATCTTATAATCTCCTTTTTATAGTACAAAAGTGCCAAGAACATGTTTGTTAACAGGCCAGAATACCTCTAGCCAGTCTGTACCATATAAAGAAGACAAAAAGTACAAAAAGTTATGCTTAATAATGAATGTTCTAGCACTTTCTCCTGTTCAGGTATTATTTAGATATTCAATGAATGTCTATTATCTAACTTCACTTAGTGTGACTCTGAGGTTGAAAGTTACTGAAAAGATCTTGGGAGCCTTTTTAGGCCAATATATTATCAAATGCAGTTAACAAAACACAACTCACTAGTTTATATAAGAGCTAGTTCTCACTTTTTTTTTTTACTTTATTTTATATATTTTTCTTTTCTTTTTTTTTTTTTTTTTTTTTTGGTAGCGACAGGGTCTTCCTGTGCTGCCCAGGCTGGTCTTGAACTCCTAGCCTCAAGTGATCTACCTACCTTGGCCTCCCAAAGTGCTGGGATTACAGGTGTGAGCCACCACCCAGCCCTGTTTTATATGTTTATCCGAACTGTGTTTCTGGCAAATTGGGCAAATTAAGGGACACTTGCTCAGTGTGAGGGGAAGACTTTCTACCTGTATTTGTGGATATGACCTTTACGACTTGTTTTGCCTGCTAGATGACTGACTGCATGTTTCCAGTGAGCTCAGCTGGTTGCTTTTGTGGGTCCCTGAGGCCCTGCGAGCCCCTGATGGAGCAGGAAGCCTAAAGTTCCAGGGACCGTGGGGAGTTGAAGGGCCGGAGGGGAAGAGAGAGGCCTGCGGCGGGGGCTGAGGGGTGGAGGAGGCCAGACTTGAAGGGGGTGTCTCCTTCCAGAGAAAGTAGGGGGGTGTGGAGGTGATCGGAAGGGAGAGGCCTGAGAGGAGCTAGTTTGGGGAGATCTCAGGTATCCCAAAGGAGCCACTGACTTCCAAATTATCCTTGGTAAAGTCACATCAACAAGGAACAACTGCTTGTTGTTCTTCGCAGTTTTGTTTTCATATGCTGATTAAAGTAGTGCAGAGGGCGTGATCAGCAGGGCTCCAGTAAGAAGCTCCCACGGAAGGAGCAGGAACACAGAACAGAGCGGGCAAGACAGCTCCACCAGGAGTCAGGAGTGATTCCCCTCCGGGAACGAGACGCCAGGAAGAAGAACTTCCAGCCCAGGAGGTAGGTACCGTTCAGAAGAAGCCTGGGACTCTCGGCACCTCAGAGCCTTACTCAGAATCATAAGAAGCAATGTCTGTCCTCACTGCTGCATCCGATGTTCTTCCGGAGCATTGGGTCACAAGTCAAACCATGTCACTCCCGCATGAGCAGGCAGAGTGGAGATAACATGGATCAATGCGGGCTCCGGTTGTTGCATCCGAGGGTCGGTCGGATGGTGGTTCCCATCCAGATCCAAGTCCTGACCCCTGATCACAGAGAAACACAGCCAGACATTAAAGTGGTAAGGACAGAAATTATAATATTTGGTGACCAGTGACAGGAGGGGAGAGAGCCGAGCTCCCCTCTGATTTGTGCAAAGAAGTGGGGAGTGGGGAGGAAGAACAGCAGGGACTCAGGAGTGAGGAAAGTGGAACATTACCAAAAGCAGGTAGGGAGGGTTAGCCTTGGGAAACCGATCTAGGTTTGCCACGGGGGCTTACTGAAGTCAGGCCCCCAATCCCACAGAGACTGGGAGACAGGGGCCCCATCTTCAGGTGTTGGCTGGAACACACAGAAAATTCTCTTGGTAGCCGTGAGTTTCTCAGGCAAGCGCTTTGAAGGGGGCTGGGATCATTTTAGGAATGTGGCCTTGAGCTGTTAGAAGCCATGTGCAGTATGGTTCACACCTGTAATCCCAGCACTTTGGGAGGCTGAGGCTGGAGAATCACTTGAGGCCAGGAGTTTAAGACCAGCCTGGGCAATGAAGCAAGACGCTGTCTCTACAAAAATAATTTTTTTAAATTAGCCAGTCACTGTGGCATGCCCCAGTGTAGTCCCAGTTACTCAGGAGGCTGAAGTGGGAGGACTGCTGGAGCCCACGAGTTCAAGGTTGCAGCAAGCTGATTGCACCACTGCACTCCAGCCTGGGCGGCAGAGGTGATCATGCCACTGCACTCCAGTCTGGGCGGCAGAGGTGATCATGCCACTGCACTCCAGTCTGGGCGACACAGGTGATCATGCCACTGCACTCCAGCCTGGGCGGCAGAGGTGATCATGCCACTGCACTCCAGTCTGGGCAACAGAGCGAGACTCTCTTTTTTAAAAAAAAAAAAAAAAAAAAAAAAAGGCCGGGCGCGGTGGCTCAAGCCTGTAATCTTGCAGTGAGCTGAGATCCGGCCACTGCACTCCAGCCTGGGCGACAGAGCAAGACTCCATCTCAAAAAAAAAAAAAAGGGCCAGGCGCGGTGGCTTACGCCTGTAATCCAAGGCGTAATCGTAATTCTTCTGTAATCCAAGAACTTTGGGAGGCCGAGGTGGACGAATCACAAGGTCAGGAGTTCAAGACCAGTCTGACCAACATGGTGAAACCTTGCCTCTACTAAAAATACAAAAATTAGCTGGGCATAGTGGTGTGAGCCTGTAATTCCAGCTACTCAGGAGGCTGAGGCAGGAGAATTGCTTGAACCTAGGAGGCAGAGGTTGCAGTGAACCTAGGAGGCAGAGGTTGCATCGTGCCACTGCACTCCAGTCTGGGTGACAGAGTCCATCTCAAATAAATTAATTAATTAATTTAAAAATGAAGACCGGGCGCAGTGGCTCAAGCCTGTAATCCCAGCACTTTGGGAGGCCGAGACGGGCGGATCACGAGGTCAGGAGATCAAGACCATCCTGGCTAACACGGTGAAACCCTGTCTCTACTAAAAAATACAAAAAACTAGCCGGGCGCGGTGGCGGGCGCCTGTAGTCCCAGCTACTCAGGAGGCTGAGGCAGGAGAATGGCGTAAACCCGGGAGGCGGAGCTTGCAGTGAGCTGAGATCCCAGCCTGGGCGACAGAGCGAGACTCGTTCTCAAAAAAAAAAAAAAAAAAAAATGAAGCAGCAGCAGCTTCATTAGTGTTTGTTCAAGGACTGATAGGCCAAGGTGAGGCTCAGCTAAGAAACGTGCTCAGAGGAGCCTGGCCGGAGTGTGATGGGGGAGTCTTTGTCCAGGCTGCTGCCATGGTGGGCCTCGGGCCTCATGGCCTGGGTGCTGGGGGTAGGGCTGCCACCCAGCCTTGGGGAGAGCAATGAGGAGGTCAGATTCCACTCACACCCAGTGAGGTCTGGATGCAGGCTTGGCCTAGAGCCTGGTCCTGATGCCCGGGCTTTGTTTTTTTGTTGTTGTTTTTTCGAGACGGTGTCTCTCTCTGTCACCCAGGCTGGAGTGCAGTGGCGTGATCTCGGCTCGCTGCACGCTCCGCCTCCCGGGTTCACACCATTCTCTTGCCTCAGCCTCCTGAGTAGCTGGGACTACAGGCGCCCGCCACCACGCCCGGCTCATTTTTGTATTTTTAGTAGAGGCGGGGTTTCACCATGTTGGCCAGGCTGGCACGTCACCCCACTAGGCATACCCAGGTCCTTTCTGTCCCTCCCTAAAGGCATCCCTGTCCTTTCTGTCCCCTCCACACTGAGCCGAGCCAGCCTATACTCTTGCCCCAGGCCTGCCCTCTGCTGGGAGCCGGGACGCTGAGCTCCTGCTGCATGAGCAGGTTGACCTGCAGGGGGCCTCCAAGCAGGTGCCAAGGCAGAATCAGATGTGACCGGGAGAACGCCCTTGAAGGATAAAGCGAATGTGCGACCACCATGCAGGTCTGGTCCATGGAAGGGAGGGGAGGGGGCCCCGGTGGGGCCACGGTAAAGGAGTGGAGGGGCCCCACAGGCAGGGACGGCCGAGCTGGTCCCCTGGGGCTGTGGATCTGCAGGTGCAGTGCAGCCTCTTGCCTTTCTCAGCCCAGCCCTTGCATCCGCCTCTTGGTGTGTCTGTGAAGACAAAGTCCCCGTGGTCCCTGCAGCACCGGGCTTGAAGCAGGTGTGCAGCCCGTGTGAAAGTCTTCCCTTTAGCTCTTACGTATTGAGTCAAAAAAAAAAAAAAAAGTCCTTCCCCTGAGCCTGGGGGCCTGGCCCCACTGAGGATACCAGCAGGCAGGGGAGGCTACAGGAGTCTGTCCTCTGCCTGGCCCTCTGACCTTCCATTCTGACCCCTTCCCTTCCACACTAGCCCCTTTCCCCATGTAGGGTGCAGTCTTTGTTGCAACTGCTCACCTCTGCCATGGTCGGGTGAGAGCAGCCACGGACAATGTGTGTGCAATTGTGTGTTTTTTGTTTTGTTTTGTTTTGTTTTGAGACGCATTCCCACTCTTATCGCCCAGGCTGGAGTGTAATGGCGCGATCTCAGCTCACTGCAACCTCCGCCTCCTGAGTTCAAGCGATTCTCCTGCCTCAGCCTCCCAAGTAGCTGGGATTACAGGCATGCACCCCCATGCCCGGCTAATTTTGTAGTTTTAGTAGAGACTGGGGTTTCACCATGTTGGTCAGGCTGTTCTTGAACTCCTGACCTCAGGTGATCCACCCGCCTCAGCCTCCCAAAGTGCTGGGATTACAGACGTGAGCCACCACGCCTGGTTGACTGTGCATTCTGATAAAGCTTCATTTATAGAAATAGCAGCTAGGCCCCTCACAGGGTGCCCAGGGCAGGTGCACTGTCTCACCTCTTCTCAGGTGTCATGGGGCGAGAGATTAGTCCTCTGCCTCCTCCTTCCTCTCTGCAGGTTGGCGAAATGACAGATTCTTGTACTGGGCGGTATGAGACAGTAGCAGGACGGGGACACTCCCAGAGTGCTGCCAGAGAGAGGCGAGGCCCCATCTGGATTTGATGGCATTTGTATTGCGGTGTTGGCAGATGGTGGTGGTGGTGTTTTAGAGACAATGTCTCTGTTGCCCAGGCTGGAGTGCCGTGGTGCAATCACAGCTCACTGCAGCCTCCAACTCCTGGGCCCAAACAATCCTCCCACTTCAGCCTCCTGAGTAGCTGCAGCTACAGGCACGCCACCATGCCTGGCTCGATGGGTATTTTGTGGCCATTAAACTTCTGGTCATTCCTTTAGATTCCCAGAGGCTGGATGGAGATGAGTGGCCAGCCCCTGGGTCCACAGATGAGCGTGGGGCCAGGCTGCAGCCTGTGGGATCTCCCAGGCCGGCCTCCAGGTGTCCTCTCAGCCTGTCCACAGGCCCTGCCCAAGCGTGTGGCCTACTTGGTGCTGCCCGGCTTGTCTTTAAGCACCTGTACTGGCTCTCCCTGGATTACTGGATCGCAGTCAAATCCCCTGCCAGAATCCTGGTCCCCCTTTATCACACGGGATCAGCCCCGAAGGGCAGGGCTGCTTGCAGCAGTTCCGGCCTTTGCTGGGAGGTTTCCAGTCCTGTTGAGCAAGTCTCAGGCAGGGCCCTCTGCAGCCTCCATGGGGGACCTGTGTGCAGAGCAGGGCTGCCCCTGTGTGTAAACGCTGAGAACTGGCCTTCTTCCTGCCATCTGTGTCCTGTTTGTCATCACGCCTGTGGCTCTACGCTTGTCTCCCCAACTGGGCCACCAGCCCTGTGAGGGCAGAATGAGGCATGTCCAAGCCACAGTGACTCTCAGTGTGCAGGGGGCTGTTAGCATTGGTTCTGTGTTCTGGAATAGCGAGGACATTGTGCCCCAAATGGCCAGTGGTTTTTCCGGGGATCGCTGCCGCCGCATGTTGGCCCCCTATGGAGAACGGAGGATGCACAGCCGTTTCAGGGCACAACCCGAGGTCTCCTGAGCTTGCTGTGCAGCCCAGTCTTTCTCTCCGTCACCCCTGGTAGCTGTCTTTCTCCTCCCTGGAGGAGGAGAAAGACACTTTCCTGAGCAGGAAGATGTGGGTGAATAGAGACCAAAGTGTCATTCACTCTTCAGACAGAGGTGATAGCAGAATGAGCAAAACTGACGGACCCCAGATCTTTGCAAAGGGAGCAAAGTCAGTTTCTAGCTATCTTTTTTTTTTTTTTTTTTTTTGAGATGGAGTCTCACTCTGCCGCCCAGGCTGGAGTACAGTGGTGCAATCTCACCTCACTGCAACTGCCTCCCGGGTTCAAGTGATTCTCCTGCCTCAGCCTCCCGAGTAACTGGGACTACAGGCACATGCCACCATGCCCAGCTAATTTTTGTATTTTTAGTAGAGAGAGGGTTTCACCATGTTGGCCAGGATGGTCTTGTTCTTTTTTTTTTTTTTTTTTTATCTCACTCTGTCACCCAGGCTGGAGTGCACTGGCGCAATCTCGGCTCCCTACAACCTCTACCTCCTGGGTTCAAGCTATTCTCCTGCCTCAGCCTCCTGAGCAGCTGGGACTAACAGGTGCTCACCACCACGCCTGGCTAATTTTTGTATTTTTAGTAGAGACAGGGTTTCACCATATTGGCCGGGCTATCTCAAAATCCTGACCTTGTGATCCGCCCGCCTCAGCCTCCCAAAGTGCTGGGATTACAGGTGTAAGCCACCACACCAGTCTTGCTGGGTCATATGGTAGTTCTGTGTTTAACTTTTTTTTATTTTTATTTTTTGTGGGTTTTTAAGAATTTTTAAATATTTGTGGGTACATAGCATGTTTAAATTTTTTTTTTTTTTGAGACGGGGTCTTGCTCTGTTGCCCAGGCTGGAGTGCAGTGGTAGGATCACAGCTCACTGCAGCCTCAACCTCCTGGGCTCATGTGATCCTCCTGCCTCAGCCTCCCAAGTATCTGGGACTACAGGTACGGACCGCCATGCCTGGCTAATTTTTAAGTTTTCTGTAGAGATGGGGTCTTGCCATGTTGCCTAGACTGGTATGGAACTTCTGGGATTAAGCAATCCTCCCGTCCCAACCTCCCAAAGTGCTGGAATTACAGTCGTGAGCCACCAGGTCTGACCACATGTTTAACTTTTTGAAGAACTACCAAACTGTTTTCCACAGCACTCACACCAGCAATGCCAGAGGGTTCCAATTTCATCACATCCTTGCTAACACTTGTTATTTTCCTTAAAAAAAAAAAAAAGCCGGCCGGGTGCGGTGGCTCAAGCCTGTAATCCAGCACTTGAGGCCGAGACAGGCGATCACAGAGGAGATCGAGACCATCCTGCTAATGGTGAAACCCGTCTCTACTAAAATACAAAAAACTAGCCGGCGAGGTGGTGGGCGCCTGTAGTCCAGCTACTCGGGAGGCGGAGTTGCAGTGAGCTGAGATCCGGCCACTGCACTCCAGCCTGGGCGACAAAGCGAGACTCCGTCTCAAAAAAAAAAAAAAAAAGCCAGCTGGGCACAGTGGCTCATGCCTGTAATCCCAGCAGTTTGGGAGGCAGAGGGGGTGGAGCACTTGAGCTCAGGAGACCAGCCTGGGCAAAATATCGAGAACCCCCCTCCACCCCATCTCTACCAAAAAAAAAAAAAAAAGGTCGGTTGTAGGGGGTGGTACACATCTGTCATCCCAGCTACTTGGGGGTGCTGAGGCAGGAGGATCCCTTGAGCCCAGGAGGTCGAGGCTGTAGTGAACTGTGATCACGCCACTGCACTCCAGGCTGGGCAACAGAGTGAGACCCTGTCTCAAAAAAACAAAACAAAAAAAAGCACATTTCAAACCTACACAAAAGCAGAGAGGATTCCCCTCAGTCCTCCGGCCTGCACCCCCGCCCCACCACAGGGGCATTCAAAACCGTTTCTTGTTGCCTCTCTGTAAGGTAAGGGGGACTCTTGACGCTCCCCAGACCACGCAGCCAAAGTAGGGTGATAGGATCACGGGGTCCCAAGTCAGACACTGAGCTGGCATGCCCACTCCCGAGTCCTGGGACCCCAAACTAAAGGAGCTGTTCCTTTTCCCCATGGAGGGCTGACTGGGCAAAATCCCAGCGCTGGGAACATCCGAGTAGCTCTGAGTGGCGTGGGTGGGTTTCTACCTGACTTTCTTTAAAGGGAGGCCTGATTCTCGGCTTTTCAGGACCCGCCCTCTATTTCCTCACTTATCTGCTCTTTCGTCCCGTGAAACTGGGCAGTGGCCAGTGACAGCGCAGGGTCAGCCCTTGGATGGTCAGGTGGGCATGATCCCACCCTCTTCCGTGGCTGGGTGGGCGTGATCCCAAAGTCACTTGGATGTGGTCCCGCCTCCCTCCCGGCCTGGTGGGCGGGGCCTCCCCTTCTGCACCAGCTGGGCTAAGCAGAGAGGAGGGTGGGCTGGGAGGCCCCACAAGGCTGGGTCGGAGCGGAGGTGGTTAGCCTGGGAGAGGCCGTTGGGAGGTGGGGTGGGCAGGGGCCAGGACTCTGTTGGTGGCCTGGGGTAGCCAGTCCTCCTGCTCTGGGCGTCAGTACCTCACACTCACAAGGGAATCCCAGCACTGGAGGGCCTTGTGAGGTGGCCGTGGGCACTGTGGCCCCCAGGCGCTGCATGGGGGCCTGGGCGTGTTGGCCTTTGAGCCTTTGGTCTTCAGCTTCCCCAGCCTCCATGGCTCTTGGCCATTGGGACCCAGTTGGCCTTTGAGCCTTTGGCCTTGAGCTTCCCCAGCCCCCATGGCTCTTGGCCACTGGGGCCCAGTTGGCTGAAGAGCCTTTGGCCTTGAGCACTTCCCTAGCCCCCATGGCTCTTGGCCAATGGGGCCAAGTTGGCCGCAGAGCCGCTGGCAGGTGGGACAGGTGGGCACTTGGTGCCTCCTCGCACCAGCTGGGCCCATCCTGCAGAATGGAGTGGGCAGGTCCCTCCTGCCGGGCAAAGGAAGAGGGCTTCAGGGCCCCTCCCTGCTGTGGCCTCCTCCCCTCTGCTGCCTCCCACTTGGCCCTAGGGGACACTGCTTGCAAATTTATGAACAGATGAACCTAGAGATTAGAGATTCAAAAACCAAATTCTTACACAATTCAAGTATTATGCAGATTTGGATTTATAATTTGGGACTCCAAGGTCTGCCAGGTAATTTGCTGTTTCAGCAGAATAGCCCTTTTAATTTGGGGTGTTTATTTCTAACACTTACTGTTTTTTAAATATGGAGAGTAAACAAAATGGCCCATTATCTGACCACACAAATATTAGTAGTAGTCATTATAGATAAGTAAACCATAGCAGATAAATAGTAGTAAACCAAGCAACAAGGTGTGTCATAGGAAATCCCCACCGTGAAGAAAGGAGCAAGGTGGAAAGTTCTGGCTGCTTCGGGTCTGCATGGTCCCTCTCCACCATGGTTCCCTGTCATCTTCCTGCCAGAATAAGGACACTGTCCTTAGGGAAGTGCCATCTCCTGTTTTTTCCCCACGAGCCCTGTGGGCACGTCCTGCCCTGCAGGGAAACATAGTGGGCCACGGGTTTCCCTACAGGCCTGGGACCCTTCCCCAGGGTAGCAGCAGAAGGTGGCACGATTCACACTCCTGCACCTGTGGTCAGGGGCACCCCCGCTGGCACTGAGCCCTGCACCGGGTTCCATCACCTGCTTGGGGCTCTGGCCTTTGGCCTTTTCCTGTGAGCCATATATTGGCCACTGTGACCCATCTGTTTCATCATCTTTTTCTTACTGGTTTGTGTATGTTCTTGGTAAACTAGCCCTTGGTCTTACACAACATTTCCAAGTTACTAAAGATTCTTCAGGGGAAATACAACTTAAGCAAAGTGGTTCCCTCCTCGTGTGGTTCACGAGGTGCAGGTGCTCACAGGGCAGTGCGGACAGGGACTGGGAGACTCCCCCTGGGGTCTCTGGCTGGGTGACACTAGTAGGGATATCGCTTGGCCTCTCTGAGGCCTTCTGCTGTCTCTTCTGAGGCCAGAAAGGTGAAGCACTGCCTTCGCCCTGCTAGGGAAGGCTCAGGCCAGGCTAGCCCTGTCCGGAGAAGGGGCTCAGATATCTGGACCTTGGTCATGGCCAGGTTAGGGTTTCTGTTGATGATTATCCAAAGGCAAAATTGATTTCCACAGAAATAACATCTGCTGTGCTGCTGAGCTCACAGAAAGAGCCCCCAGACCCTTCCCGCAGTCAGAGGGCTGGAACCTGCTCGGAGGCGCTTTGAAGGTGACTTGGCCAGTGGAAGCTGGGGCAGTGCCAGGGTGGGTACAGATTCCAGCCCGGTGCATTTGCACAGGTCTGCTGGGCACACGTCCACTCTGCCTGTGTAAACAGGCCACGTGGTGGGAAATCCCCTAGAAGCCTGGTGTCCACATGGCCTCCCCCTAGGGCGGAGCCTCTGCTTCCCTGTTCTCTTCTGCTCTGTCCTCTGGTGCCCTGAGGCTGGCCTCCAGGGGTGTCCCCTCTGCGGCCCTGGGCCTGCCTCCTCGCCTGGGTGTGCCTTTCTAAAACGGAGCGTCCAGCGGAGATTGGGACCCCCTCTGCCACTGGGAGTCCAGGGCCCCATCCCAGAAAGATCTCTGAGTGACCACAGGGGCCCCAGAGGAAGTTTCCTTGTGTCCTTCCCATTTTAGGGTCTGTGATCTGAACCCCTGGGCTTCTGATTCAGGCCTCCTGTGCTCTGCTCTCTGCCTGCTGGGTTCCCTCACCAGGCTTCTGTCTGTTGCCTGGAGGGTCACACCAGGAGGATTTCAAACAGGTTTCAAGTGGGGTCACTTGCCATTTCACTGTGCCCCACGAGGTACACTGTGGTGGGCAGCAGGGCTGGCCTTTCTCATCTGGGACATGCCACATGTTGCCATCCCCAAGGGAAGTGGTGAGTGGGTCTGTCCTGGTGTTCCTGGCCTGGGGACTGCCAGTGTCCTTATTTGGACACTCAATGAAAGGGACACACGAATCCCTGGGGCGTCCAGAGCATGGGTGACCAGCATGGGTTCACCACATGAGGCTGAGGGGCTGTACCATACAGCCTCTCTTTGGGCCACCCCTCACTACCCCCCACTCTGGGCCATGGGGCTTCCCTGCCCCTGGGTGTCCTCTAAGCCAGCTGGGAGACAGCAGCCTGGGTCCACATCTGCTTCTGTATTCTGTGTGGTTTTAGAGGATCCCTGGGCTGCCTGGGGAAGCACCCAGGGCCAGGGAGTGTGACCTGCAGGCTCCACACAGGACTGCCAGAGGCACACACCTGCTCTGTCCGCCCGAGGGCACCCGAGGGCATGAGAAGGCTGGCTCCCTGGCACTGACCCGTCAGGCAACTGAGGACATGGCTGGCTTCTCTGAACCTTGCCCCTCTGCGAACACAAGGGGGCGATGGTGGCACTCCAAGCTGAGGGGCATGTGGGTACAGCAGGAAGAGCACAGAGCACTGGCGCCCCTCCCCTCCCGCCCTGCAGATGCTGGAGGCCCCGCCTCTGCTGCTGGCGGCTGTGTTCCTGGGCCTGGTGCTGGTGGTGCTGCTGTTGATCCTGAGGCGCTGGGGCTGGGGCCTGTGCCTTATCTGCTGGAACGAGTTCGTCCTGCAGCCCATCCGCAACCTGCTCATGGGTGACACCAAGGAGCAGCGCATCCTGCACCACGTGCTGCAGCATGCGGAGCCTGGGAATGCACAGAGCGTGGTGGAGGCCATCGACACCTACTGCCAGCAGAAGGAGTGGGCCATGAACGTGGGTGACAAGAAAGGTGGGGTCCCGGCCGGCAGGTGCTGAGCTCTGGGACAGGGACCCAGGACCAGGCATCAAAGCCCTTACCGGAGAAGCTGTTATCACCCCGTTTCCAGGGGGCTGGGAACCCTGGGATATGCCCAGATAGAGCTGGGGGGTTCCTCTGGAGTCCCAGGGTGCCAGGGTCCCTGATGATTCCTCCAGGCCCTGCTGCCTGCGCCCCAGGACAACAGGCCCCCACACAGGGTCTGATGGTGGTGCAGTTCTCCTTGAACTCTGCTCTGGCCACCATGGGACCTGCCTGGGGACCAGTCAGACTGGTTCTCCTGGGCCTGCCCCCGCCTGGACTCCAGCCTGGGGCACAGGATGTGCTGCCGGACTCAGGGAGTTACTCAGGCAACTAGTGCTGCCCCGGGGCGCCAAGGGGGGGCGGGTGGTTCGGGGTTTCAGAGAGGGCAGCTCTGTGTTAGGACACGCTGGGGCCAGCCAGGAAGAGTGGAACAGACAGGGACCAGCATGGGCATAGAGGCTAAGGGACCATGGGAGCTCCAAGGGTGCTCACAGTGGGGACCAGGTCCTTGGGGCTGGGGACACCAGGGAGGTAAAAGATCCCTCCAGCAGGTAGGGAGGGCGGGCAGAGGAGGGCCAGAGGCCGGGCATTTGGGAGGGGCTGTTGCTGTTTGGGAGAGGTAGGGGGCCGTGCCTAGGGATCCAAGTTCCCCTCCTTCCACCTGTGCTCACCTCTTCCCTGTCCCCCACCCTGCACAGGCAAGATCGTGGACGCCGTGATTCAGGAGCACCAGCCCTCCATGCTGCTGGAGCTGGGGGCCTACTGTGGCTACTCAGCTGTGCGCATGGCCCGCCTGCTGTCACCGGGTGCGAGGCTGCTCACCATCGAGATCAACCCTGACTACGCCGCCATCACCCAGCGGATGGTGGATTTCGCTGGCATGCAGGACAAGGTGCGCATGCCCGACCGCCTGTCAGACCTGGAAGAAGGGCCAGGGCTGTGGGCGGGGAGGGCCTGGTTCACACCACGTTCATTGAAAACCCACTGTCACCAGGCCCCTCAGTGCCTCCCAGCCTGGGGCTGAGGAAGGACCCCCCAGCAGCTCGGTGAGGGTGGTCTCACAGCTCTGGGGAAATGGCCAAGGTGGCACGAGGAGGGGCAGGGACATAGCGGGGCCATGTCACCCAGAACCCTAAAGAAAACTGATGAATGCTTGTATGGGTGTGTAGGTACGGCCTCCTGTCTGTATGGGCGTGGGCACTGACAGGCGCTGTTGTATGGGTGTGTAGGGGCGGCCTCCTGTGTGGGCGTGGGCACTGACAGGCGCTGATGGGTGGGGGGCTCCTGTGTGGGTGTGGGCACTGACAGGCGCTGTTGTATGGGTGTGTAGGGGCGGCCTCCTGTGTGGGCGTGGGCACTGACAGGCGCCGTTGTATGGGTGTGCAGGGATGGCCTCCTGTGTGGGCGTGGGCACTGACAGGCGCTGTTCCAGGTCACCGTTGTGGTTGGGGCGTCCCAGGACATCATCCCCCAGCTGAAGAAGAAGTATGATGTGGACACGCTGGACATGGTCTTCCTCGACCACTGGAAGGACCGGTACCTGCCAGACACGCTTCTCCTGGAGGTGAGTCCCAACCAGGATGGCCTCTGTGCCAGCTGCTGCCCAGGGCCCATTAGGTCAGCCTCAGCCTCTCCAAAGAGCCAGGCACCCCAGCAGAGCCCTGTGCAGACAGAGCTTGCTCTGGAGGCACCACCTGAGGTCCAGGAGTGTGGGGGACTGAGGAGGTCCTGAGGTAGGTGGAGATGGGTAGGAAGCCGGGCCAGGGGCCCGGCTGCTTGGCCTGTTGGGAACTAGGGAGCCAGCCTGCCCGTGCAGGTGCAAAATGGGTGGCAGAAGTGGGGTACACACCCCAGACCAGATACCAGGGCAGAAAAGGCACAGGACCAAGGAGATGGGGTGGGGAAGGGCCGCTCCAGGCTGGCCTGCTTTCCCCCAAGCAAGCCAGTGCTCGTGCAAAGAAAGCACGTGTCTCCTGCAGAGCTTCCTCCCGAGGCCCCATCTTGTGCATTCCCCCAACCCAGCCCCACTGACGAGGACCCTGAGTTTCCTTAGTGAGGCCTGGTAGCGGGTGGGGCTGTCCTTGCTTCCCTGAGGGGCTTGGGGCACTGGTGGCCCTTCACAGACTGATGCTTAAGGAGCCTCACATCAATGACACACTGCCCCACCCCTCCCTGGTGGTCAGCGACACTGAATGGCTCTGTGATCCTCCACTGGGCTTGGGACACCCACCCTCACGGCCTCCCCACCTGCTCATCTGCAGCTCTCCCAGAAACCGGACACTGCCGTTAGCAGCAGGACTAGGAGCATAAGGGGCATAGCCCCCATGCCTGGCTAGGTAGGGCCACTGGATTGGAAGGAACCAGCACTAGCAGAAGCCTGAGGTGTGAAAGGGCAGAGAATGTTCCAGAACAATGGGAGTCAGGGCACACAGGACTTTGGGTAGGTGAGGGTTAGACCTGTCTTCTGGAGCTGGGCTCAGGGGGTCATGCCCGTAATCCCTGCACTTTGGGAGGCTATGGCAGGAGGAGCGCTTGAGGCCAGGAGTTCGAGACCAGCCTGGGCAACATGGCCAAAAAAAATATATATATATATATATATTAGATGGAGTATTGCTCTGTCACCAGGCTAGAGTGCAGTGGCACAATCTCCGCTTACTGCAACCTCTGCCTCATGGGTTCAAGCGATTACCCTGCCTCAGCCTCCTGAGTAGCTGGGACTATAGGCACGTGCTGCCACACCCGGCTAATTTTTTGTATTTTAGTAGAGACGGGGTTTCACCATGTTGGCCAGGATGGTCTCAGTATCCTGACTTCGTGATCTGCCCGCCTTGGCCTCCCAAAGTGCAGGGATTACGAGCATGAGCCACCGCACCCGGCTACAAAACATACTTTTAAAAATTAGTTGGGTGTGGTGGTGGTGTGCCCCTGTAGTCTTGAGCTAGTCAGAAGGCTGAGGATGAAAGATTACTTGAGCCAAGGAGTTGGAGGTTACAGTGACTGCCACAGGTTATGGGGACGGTAACTGGGTCCAGCTTTTTTTTTTTGAGACAGAGTTTCGCTCTTGCTGCCCAGGCTGGAGTGCAATGGCACGATCTCAGCTCACCGCAACCTAACCCTCCCGCGTTCAAGTGATTCTCCTGCCTCAGCCTCCCGAGTAGCTATGCCTGGCTAATATTTTTGTATTTTTAGTAGAGATAGGGTTTCTCCACGTTGGTCAGGTTCATCTCGAACTCCCAACTTCAGGTGATCCGCCTGCCTCGGCCCCCCAAAGTGCTGGGATTACGGGCGTGAGCCACCGCGCCCGGCCTTATTCCAGCTCTTAACAAAAACAACAAAAAACTTGTCTGGAAAGATCCCTGTCAGCCTTGGGGAATGTGGAAAGAGAGGGCTGTGGGGAGGGCATTTCAAGTGCCCTGAACTCATGAGTCGGGGCTGAACCCTGGCCGTGGAGAGGGAGGACCTGTATTGACCAAGGGGGCGGGCAGTGGGAGGGTGGGAGGGAGACCTGCAGGCCAGGACAGCGTAGCTGGCGGGGCTCACCCCTGACAAAGGAGCATGATGCTGGCAATTGGGTATTGATGGGAGAGAGCAGACACTCAGCCAGATGGGCTTCACTCGGGCAGGAGAGACAGCCACAGCTGGGCCTGCGTTACCGGGGCCGAGTTTCAGCAGCTGTGGTGTGATAATTACAGGGGCCTGCCTTCATAAAAAAGTAGCAAATATTGCAGTTTAGTAACTAGGAAAGTAATAGTTTTCTCAGTGCTGCTTGTGCAAAGCTGGTAATTATCTCAAAAGAAGCAAAGTTTATGAAGTGGGAAGTCATGAATTGGGAATGGGTGTCCTTGTTAAATGCATATCTGCACACTCACGGCTGGGGCCCTGTGCCACCTTGTAGAGGGTTGGGGGACAGCCTGGCTCTTGTGAGGGCCTAGCCATCCCCTCAGTGGGCTCTGTGAGCATTGGAGGCATGGGGAGTGAGGGGCTCAGGAGCAGGTTGCAATTCAAAATCAAGGGCTGCTTTGAGGAGGTCTCTCCACCGGGCTGCCATAGTCACCAAGTCCAGCCCACACCCAAAGGAACAGGAATGAGTTCCCCCTTAAAAAAAAAAAAAGGACAGGGTCTTGCTCTGTGCCCAGGCTGGAGTGCAGTGATGCCATCATAGCTCACTGTAGCCTCAAACTCCTGAGCTCAAGTGATCCTCCCACCTCAGCCTCCTGAGTAGCTGGGACTACAGACATGCACCACTACACCGGCTAATTTAAAATTTTTTTTGTAGAAATGGGGTCTCCCTATGTTGCCCAGACTGGTCTCAAACTCCTGGCCTCAAGGGATCCTCTTGCCTCAGCCTCCCAAAGTGCTAGGAGTACAGGTGTGTGGCTCCAACTTTGTGGTTGTTTTTTTTTTTTTTGAGACGGAGTCTCGCTCTGTCACCCAGGCTGGAGTGCAGTGGCCGGATCTCAGCTCACTGCAAGCTCCGCCTCCCGGGTTCACGCCATTCTCCTGCCTCAGCCTCCCGAGTAGCTGGGACTACAGACGCCCGCCACCACGCCCGGCTAAGTTTTTGTATTTTTAGTAGAGACGGGGTTTCACTGTGTTAGCCAGGATGGTCTCGATCTCGTGACCTCGTGATCCGCCCGTCTCGGCCTCCCAAAGTGCTGGGATTACAGGCTTGAGCCACCGTGTCCGGCTGTTGTTGTTTTTTGAGACAGAGTCTTGTTCTGTCGCCCAGGCTGGAGTGCAGTGGCACGATCTTGATTCCCTGCAACTTCTGTGAGGCTCCAACTCTTGAAGGGAGGAGAGTCTAAGGAGGGTAGGCACAGTTGAAAACCACCTCAGCAGAGTGTCACGTGCTCCTCTGACACTGTCACTTCTCCATGGCATTAGGTTTTCAGTGCTGCTCAGATGCTGCTGCATGTTTAGCCAGTTCTCCAGGGGGTCTGAGTAGCTGGTAGGAGGCTTGCAGTGTCGGGGAACAGGCAGGACAGGTGCTGCTTTCTTTCCCCTCTTGACCAGTTTTGTAAAGGAGTGGCCCCCTGGCAGCCTCCAAAGGTGAGCCATGCTCCTTTCTGCCCTTCCCTCCTTCTTTCCTGTTTAACTCGTGCAGTTGCAGTGGTCTGGTGTCTTTCAGTCTGCTGACGTCATCTGTATCCCTGATGACCAGACTGGGCTCCTGAGTCCCCTGGCGCAACCCGAGAAGTCCAGGAGCCCAGGCCCCTCACTCATCTTGTGTATTCCCTGGCCCGGGCCGGAAGGCAGCCGCCCTGCTCAGGGCCTAGGCCATTGTCTTCCTCCTGGGTGGCACTTTGTTCTAGGTCTTTTCAGCTGACATTGCTAAGACATTTTTTTTTTTTTTTTTTTTTGTCTAAATGTAAACACATCATGATTCATGGTGGTACTTCCTGTTCAACTCCGGACCTTGGGGCTGTCCCCTGACCTCGCTGACCTTGCAGCCGTGTGGTGTCCATACTGTCACGTGAAAGCCCCTCTGCTTTCTCTGCAGCACACGAGCTGGAAACGACCGCCACCCACCACTGGGACAGCTGCAAGCCCTGTGGGACTCTCTAGGCGCATCCCAGAGGGATGTGGGGTCGGATGCCAGTGTTTCAAGGCACCTGCCTGCGAACTGATTTTACTATACGTTAGATGTTTGAGATTGCTTGTTAACTTTTGTTTGGTGACTAAGTCAGATCTCCACGACAAGGTGACTGGGGTGTCCCTTGCCCTGGTGGGTCCTTCCTCTCCAAAGAAAAACACTTCCTCTCAAGGTTTCTTTATTGTTTATGTGATGTAAGCAAACCCTCCTTGCAGCTTTGATAGGCAAGCATTCTATGAAGTTTCTCCTGATAGTGGACCCCACGGGCCATGCCCTGTGGCTGCGTTGTCAACAACTCCTTCCTTCTGTACAGAACCCAGGCAGAGGAACTCTGTGTCCTCCCAGGGCCCAGGCACCGGTGGAGATGGGGGGTCTGCAAATGCAGGAGCTTGGGGGATGTTCAGAACTGACTCCAAGGGGCAGACTTGGTGGTGAGAGGTCTGCCCCACCCCAGCCCTGCAGGGTCACCCTGGTCAGGCCAATATTGTCTCCAGGGACCATACTGGTGCCTCTCCCTCATAGGCCTGAGTTCCTGGCACTAGGTGTTGAGGGCCCCACTGTTTCCACTCACCCAGCTAACATTTATTGAGCACCTACTGTGTACCACATGCTGTTCTAAGGGATGGATACGCCTGAGATGGATACAGGAGTTGATGAGAAAGGTCCCTGTCTTCACGGGGCCCATGTTCTAGAGGTGGCACCCAAGTCTTGTACAGTCCTTTCCTGCAGGAGTCATGCTGGGCAGAAAGCGGAAACCTGGCCCTAGGGGCTAGGCACAGGCGTGGTACAGTGGCCTGGTGAGGAGCACCCATCCTGGTTTGGGCCCGGTTTTCTGAGCACCTATGACCCTCACCTCCCCCACCCCCTGGTCTGTTTGCAGGAATGTGGCCTGCTGAGGAAGGGGACAGTGCTACTGGCTGACAACGTGATCTGCCCAGGTGCACCAGACTTCCTGACACACGTGCGCGGGAGCAACCGCTTTGAGTGCACACACTACCAGTCATTCCTGGAATACAGGAAGGTGGTGGACGGCCTGGAGAAGGCCATCTATAAGGGCCCAGGCAGTGAAGCACAGCCCTGACTGCCCCCCCGGCCCCGCACTCAGGCTCCCTCACCCAGCCTGGTTCTGAGGGTGCCACAGACGTGCTCCTGCTGACCTTCTGCGGCTCTGGGTTGTATCCTACATGCAAAGCACACCTCGGCCGAGGCCTGCGCTCTGCCATGCTGACTGACCTCTCTGAACTGCAGCACTGGATTGCTCTCCTTTTTTAAGACTCAATCGTGACCTCTTTACTAACACCCGCTAGCTATATTATCTTACATACTAATACATGTTTTAAAAATATAAAATAGAAATTAAGACTCTAAATATAAATCAACTTAGTACATCCTTCTCGACTGCCATTCTCCTGCTGCCCTTGACTTGGGCACCAAACATTCAAAACTCCCCTTGATGGACGCTAACGCTAAGGGCGGGGCCCTGGCTGGCTGGGTTCTGGGTGGCATGCCTGGCCCACAGGCCTCCCAGCCACAGTGGTGCAGAGGTCAGCCCTCCTGCAGCTAGGCCAGGGGCACCCGTTAGCACTACGGGGATGACTGCCGGCCTGGGAAACAAACAGAGGAGTCAGCCAGCATTCACACTTGTCTTGACCAAGCAGGCGCTGGGGAGAGGTGGACCCCGCAGCAGCACCAGCTCCTCTGGGCCCCATGTGGCATGGAGTGGAAGCGTCTCCTTCCCCACTCCCACTGGGCCTTGCCTACAGAAGAGGCAATGGCTCAGATCAGCCCCCACATCCCTGCAGTTGCCCCCCCAGCCCGTGAATGAGGATGCAGTACTGGTTTGTGTCCACCTACACCCAGAGCTGCCCTCAGCTCCTCCAAGGGGTCAGACTACTGGCCACCACAAAGGCTCCAAGGGCCCAGTTCCCAGGCCCAGGACAGCTCAACCCTGTGCTAGCTGAGTCCACCTGCACCCAGACCAGCCCCTAGCCAAGACTCCACTCCTGGGCTCAAGGCCTGGCTAGCCCCTAGCCAGCCCACTCCTATGGATAGAGAGACCAGTGAGCCCAAATGGACAAGCCTGGGGCCACCCAAGGGTCAGAAACAGCCTCTGCAGGACACAGCAGATGGACACCTGGGACCACCTCCACCCAGGGCCCTGCCCCAGACGCGCGGAGGCCCTGACACAAGGGAGGAGCCAGCCACTTGTGCCAGACCTGAGTGGCAGAAAGCAAAAAGTTCCTTTGCTGCTTTAATTTTTAAATTTTCTTACAAAAATTTAGATGTTTACCAATACAGTCTTATTTTGGCTTATTTTTAATGCGTTTTCTCAGTGTTTTTCTTCTGAGTCACAAACAGCAGGCACTGAAAGCAGTCCCCAAGCCACTGCCGAAGGTCAGTCCTGGAGGTGCTGCCCAGGCTCCAGGCAGATGCGGTGGCCCCGGCCCCGGCCAGCATCAGCTGGACAACGGCTCTCTACTGCACAGGGGCCTCACATGGCTGCAGGGCTCTGGGGAGGTGGGGCACCTGTAGCCTGACCCCTACCTTGCTGTTTCCAAAGATTCCTTGCCCAGGGCTGGGCCTTGTGGGGCACCCCTGACACTGTGGTCTGCCTGCCTGCAGGGTGCCCAGGGAGCCCCTCCACCTTTAGGAGTCCAAGTTCTTTCCCAGCCCCCTCCCTGCCTAGCCACCTGCCCCTGGCACCAAGCCTTCCCGCACCTCTGGGGCACTGTGTTCCCAGGGGTACCCTCCTATCCCACCGGCCCCAAAGCCCAGCCAGGCACCCTTCCCTGCCACCTCCCTGGGCCCTGCCCTAGCAGCCCAGTCGGCCTCCTCGGGCCTTCTGTCACTCGCTCACACACAGCACCATGTCAGTAAACAGCTAACTCAAGCCTAGGGAGTTAGGTAGGGTGGGGGGCAGGAAGGTGTCCCCAAAGTCAGGCTTGGCTGGGGTGAGGCGCTGCCAACCCCTGCCGCCAGGGGGCTCCAAGCTCCACGGCAGGATCTGCTCAGGGTGGCCCTTCTTCCACGATCCAAGCCCTAAGAACAAGAGGCTGGGCCTGGGCCCTGCAGAGGGAGAGGGGATGGTGGACGCTGCAGCCAGAGTGGCACAGGACCACGTACAACCTCAAGGCAGGGCGGCCAACTCCACAAGCTACATGGATGGAGATGTGGACAGAAGCATCTGCCCTGGGTGGTGTGAGCTGACCCTTGGGGTCAGGACTGATCCTGACTTGCTGGTCCTCAAAGGGCATTGGAGGGTATGGTGCCCATCCCTACTCTGGTCCCATCTCCTCAGGCCCCTGATCCCACAGTGCCTGGGACAAGGCTGTGGGCCCAGGGAGCACCCTCCCTCTCTGACTTCTGCTGGCCTCCCCTGGGAATGGGCCACTGGGCTGCTGGACTGGAAGCCAAAGTCCTGCGGGGAACGTGCGGGAAGAGCAGAGCATGCAGGCAGCGGAGACCAACAAGCAGCCCTGGCCCAGAGGGCAGAAACGTTTGGACAAACAACCAGATGAGAGAACGTACCAGGCATGCAAGCTAGACCCAGGAGTCAACGGGCTGAGGCTTAGCGTCCCCCACGGCGTCCACCAGCCTGACCGCGGGCCTGCTGGGCCCTGGGGGAGGGGCCTTCCTGCTGGGATCGAGCTGCAGTGCACGGGTGGGCATTAAAGGCACAATAGAGCAGGTTAGTCAGAGCTCCTGGGGGGACAGGGCAGGGGCAGGGCCGAGGCTGGCGATGTAAGGGTGGGCCTGCCAGGACAGCACAGGGAGCACCAAGGGCACAGGGAGCCAGACAAGTGTGGCTCACACGGGCTGGGATGGGGGGGCACGTGCACACACAGAGGCCTACACAGGAAGCTGGGGGATTGGCACACAGCAGACGGCAGGTCCTGCCCTCGCCGGTGGATCCTGGCGGGCCCTCGCACACACATGCACAGAAGGGTGCACACACACTAGCTCAAAGGCTCCGGGCCATGCAGGGTGTGCCCGGGCAGTGCTGTCCCCAGCGGGTGGGAGCTGCAAACTCATCAGTACCCACAGACTGACTGGCACGAAAGGGCTGCTTCCTGGGCTTGGGCCCACAACCCAGCTATACCCCAGGGCCCAGACCAGACCCAGCATGGCCTAGGCTGTTCTCCAGCAACCCCCAGACACAGAGCCCCACGGGGTACCTGCCCACAGTCACATGACACTTACTTTCAATGGTTCCTTCTCAGAGGCCTCTCCGGCAGAGCCAATGCCCCGCGGCCTTCGCTCCCTCCGGTCTACTGTGGAGTATCCGTCTGCAGATGGAATAAAGTGGGGCATGAGGGGTGCTCTGAGGGGGACCCTGTAGGAGCAGATCTTCCTCTCAGCCCAGACACAGGGCACTCGTGGGACAGGGGCTTTGGGAGATGGCCCCCACCCACCCTGTCCTCGAGATCCGGGCTGCTGCCAGCTTTCACCAACACCCTGCCTCATGCTGGTGCAACCCTTGCCTGCCCCACGGCAGCTCCAACTCTCCAGACTCCCCTCCACTTGTGGGCCAGAGCTCCTGGCTGGGCACTAACCCCTCTCTAGCTGCCCTGTACCTCACTCTCTGAGCACCCCTTAACCAAATCTCTCTCCTCCACCCAGCACCAACTACACCCCATAAAACCAGTAGGCCCGCCTCAGGCTCTGGTCCCCTCCCGGCACAGAAAACAAACCACACTGCGTCTGCACTCACCTGGACCAAGCGCGTCCATGGGGATCACATCCCGGCTGCCAGTTTTCTCGTCCTCTGCAAGGCAGGAGGAGGAGGCAGGCTGTACACAGCGGCCAGCGGGGATCGGGGCACAGAAGCCCCAGGTAGCCCTAGAGGCTCTCTGTCACTAAGGTGCCTAACCTCTGCCAGTTGGAAGCCCTACCCTGAGCTTGACAGCAGCGTGGATGCCGTGGGGAGTAGCCAAGAGGCAGAGGGCAGGGAAAGTGGCCTATGGAAGCCGTCTCCGTGGGAGGTGTGGCTCCTCCTTCACCTTCACCCAAGGGTCGGGCAGCTGGGGTCCCCACCCTCTAGGCCCCCTAACCTCCACCACTCACCAAGGCTCTTGTCCACCAGTGGCAGCGTGCTGTCATCGAAGCCCCCAGGACTCGGTGCTCCCTTAGGCCCCTTGGCAGTAGCAGCGGCCGACTGAGACATAAAACACAGACACAGTGTGGGTGAAGCACACGGAGTGGGAATAAGGCGAAGTGGGCAGGGAAGGCCAAGGAAGCCGCACCTGGAAGCGCGCCTTGGTCCAGCCATCTTTCTGCAGAGTACCACGCAGCTCTTTGTAGCTCCACACTGTCTGCAACACGTGCGACGCCGCCTTCGCCTCGCGTACAGATTGGCTGTGGGGCCGAGGGCGGGGTCAGTGGTGGCCCCTCCCCCACATCCCCTGCTCCCCAAACCACCGACCCCTCCCCTCCACACCTGGAGGCGACGAGAGCCACCAACGCTGGCACCCCACGTGCCTGCAGGAGCGAGCGCGTGTTATCCAGGCTGTCGGACACGATTTCGTGGATGGTGTTGAGCACCGCCACCACGGTGTCTTCCTCCAGGCGGGCCCCAGGTCGCGGCGGAGCCTGTGCATTGCGCACATTCCGCACAAGCTCGGCCATGGCGTAGCTCCCTGAAGGGCAGGGCTAGGTGTCAGGACACGCCTCTGCCCCACCCCTCCAGGAATGAGCAGGGATCCCGCGAGGGCTAGGGGCGCTGCCAGGAGAGCCCCTGGAGACCGCCACAAGGAACCATGCGAGCAGGGTGCTGAGCTTCAGAGACAGGGCCAGGGGGACTGGAGCTGCCTAAGGTGGGCCAGCGCCCAAACAACAGGGGCGGGGCCTGGACTCCCAAACCACTCATCCTCCAACCCCCTCCCATGGGACTAGAGCTGCAGGCATAGTTCGGTGTCCAGGCGTGGCTCTGCAGGCGTCCTCACCGATAAGATCTTTGTTGCGCCGGTCCAGCGAGAGGTTGCGCAGGGCAATGGCGACGGCGCGCACCACCTTGTCGGTCTCAGACTGCAGCAGTTCCACAAGCACCGGCAGCCCGCGCTCTTTGCGCACTGTGGCGCGGATGTACGTGGCCCACTGAGAAGGTGGGGAGAGGGTTGCTCAGCCATACACCCCAAGCACTCTCCCACCTCCAGATCCTGACTGCTCCCTCCAGCTGAACCTTCCTGCTCCCGTGCCCGACAAAGCCCTACCCCAAAAGCTCAACGGCACCTCCACCGAGGCTTTCCCACCGTCCAGGGTGCACGCAGTGCCCGCAGCCCATGCACTTCTTGGATCTTGGGGTGGTGAGGTGGGCCCTCCTTTTCCCGCCAGCCGAGGCAGGAGCTGCACCAGTGAGGTGCCTGGGATTTCCTCTCTCAGGACTTGCCCACCCTGCCACACCTGGCCCCTCACCATCCAGTTGCCGGCACTGAGGTTCTGCAGAGCACCGGCGGCAGCCTCCAGGGTGTTGAAGTTCCGGCTCTCCGTGAGGAGGGAGAGGTAGAGACGTACCACCTCGGGTTGGTACAGCAGCTCAAAGCCTGGGTGCAGGGCAATCGCCATCCACGGTCACCCAGAATCTGCTCTCATCCATCATACCCCTCCCGCTTCCCGCTTCAGAGCTCCCAGGGGGTGAGCTGGGGCCAGGAATGGGTGTGGATGAGTCACGTAATATTTACTATCAACATAGTCACCCAAGGGGAAAAGCGTTCCCATTTCACAGAGGAGCAAACTGAGGCTCAATCAGTTGGACCTGCCTGGCAGCAGGAGCATCCAGGAGGCCTGGGGTGGGGAGGGAGGCGTCAACCAGGAATGCTCTCCTAGCAACAAGACCCGCATTTCCCGGTATGTCCCTGAAGCTATGTATCCTGGCCACGCCCCTAGCAATAGGGTCCACCTTCCCTGGCAACAAGACCAGCATTGGCCACACCCCTAGCAAGAGAACCTGCTTTCACTAGTAACTGAAGCGGTGCAGAGCCACGCCCCCTAGCAACAGGGCCCACCCTCCCCCACTGACAATAGAGCCCCCACTCTGTAAGTCAATTGATGCAGTGCAACCAGGGCAGCTGCCCTAGCAACAGGAGGCACTCTCCCTGGCAACCACTCCAGGTTCCCCGGCAATTGAGACGCCATCCTGCTGCTCTGCCCAGTGCTCCAGAAATGGGGGGTCAAGACAGCCTTCCAAGCTTGCCTGTCCCCAAACAGGGGCTTCAGCCTGGCTTGGGATACTACCTCAATCTCCCCTGTACTCGCCCAGTGACATTTCATCACCCCCTCCTGTCCCCACGCCCCATGCTCCCTCTACTCCTGCCCTGCTGGGCTTTCTGCTCCCACATACTCCAAAAACATTCCCTGCTGGGATATCTGCACCAGCCCTGCTTTAACTGTAATGCTTCCCCATAGCCCTCCTGCAGCTGGGGACCTCCACTCTGGTGACATGCAGGCTCTTCCAACTGGTTAGGCCCCACCAGGGCAGACCTCTCTCTCAGGCCAGATCCCAGCACACAACCCAATAGGCACTGCCCTGCCCCTGCAGGTGTTCGTCTGGCCTAGCCTCTGAACCTGGATGTGAGAATGCCCGCCTGGCTCCCAGCCCCGAGGTGAACTCAGCTTTGTGGCTAACACAGGAGGCCTACCTCCACTGGGGGCGTCCCTCCAAACCTTCCCACCTCTTACGCACCGTGAGGCTGAGCAAGCCCCTGGCCTCTCTGTGCCTGTCTCCTCCCCCAACCTTGCCTGACATGACCCATGGCACTGCCTCCCATTCTAAACCCTCAGCAGGTGTCCCAGTGCTGAATAATCCTCCAGGAAATCCTGCACCTATGGGCCTGTTTCCCCATCTGTTCCCTGAGGCCCTCCAGGCCTGCTTGATGGCCCAAAGCTCCACTACCAGGGCAATCCTGAGCCCAGACATCCCCCAGCGGAGCTGGCTTCGTCTCAGCCCACTCACCTTTAGCAGCCTCAGTTCGCTTGGGCAGGTCTAGCGTGTCAAAGTTCCGGTCCATCTCACCATCCTTCTTTCCTGGAAGGGAAAGGTGGTGTAGGAGGTGACGCAGACCCCATATGGGGCATGGGTGTGTCAGAAGGGTTGGGCACAGTTCTCTCCTACCCAGGCCCCAAAAGGCACCCCCATGTCCAGGCCTGGGCACCTGTGAGAATGCAGCACCACTGTCAGAGTTTGGGCAGTTTAGGGGTAGGAGTTGGTGGCAATGGGGCCTGGGGACATCCCAGGACTCATCTCCCACCAGGTGCTGGAAGCTGTACCACAGACCCTCCCGGTGGCTTCCTTGCAACTGCCAGGTATGTAGACCGACGAAGCCAGGAGCCCTGGCTGGATGGCAGGTGGATACAAGCCGAGAAACTGAAGGCTGACCGGGACAAGACTCGCTTGGGTCACACAGTAAGGCAGAACTAGGGGGAAACTCCCCCAGTCTGGGGTCAGGACATTGTCCCAGGATCTACTAGCCAGGAGAAACCCCACAGCAGCCCACCTAACATTTGTGCAGCCCTGGTTTGCACCCCTTTGTGACAGTGAGCCCACTGTCTCTCAGCCACACTCCCATCTCAGATGACACTTCTACCCCCTCACAAGGCAGCAGAGTGGAGCCAGATGACCTGAGGTCCCTGCCCTGCTCACCCTCACGGGACCCTTGTATCCCTTTGAGCCACATGCTGCCCCATTCTATCAGAGAAACAGACTGCTCCCTGGTGCCCCTAGAGACAAGTATCCCCGGGCCCTGCCCACTCTTGGCTCTGCCCGGCTCTGCCCAGGTAGGCAAGTCTGAGGTTATAAAATGAGCCCCTTGGCCTTCCCACCTGCCACTATCATAAAGACGGCAGCCCGAGTGATGAAGCCAAGGGTGGGGCAGGGCCCTGGGGCTGGAATGTGCTTGCCTCTTCCCAGGTGCCCACTGCACATGCCAGGCCTGGAGAGCAGGATAAAAAGGGACTCACCTTGGTGGAACCACTCCTCTGGGCGGCCGGAGGAAGCAGAGGAGAGAGGAGAGGAGCCTGAGCAGGCAGCACTCATCACCCCCCATGCCCTCCCAGAGGCCTCAGGTTCCCACTGCACAGCCTGGATCAAGCAGGCAGCATGTGGAACCTCATCCCATCACTTCTGGGTGCTGAGCACCCACCAGTGGGACGAGGAGGAGGCCTAGGGTCAGTGGGGCAGGGGCAGGTGGCGCACAGGTCGCCCACAGCTGCTGGGGAGGTCCCGAGAACCTACACCCCGCTAGTGCGGTAGAGAAGGTGTGCAGGGCATCTTGCCCAGGCAGATGGGTGACTGCCCCACAGGTTGGAGGCAGTCTACAGCTATTCTGTAAACAGTCAGCAGGCAGCAATAGCCATGGCTCTTTCTCAACTCATGGGCGAGTGGAACTCTCCCCGGAATAGAGACTGGGTCTGGGCATCAGTGGGACCACCAGGCTTCCCTTGTGTACTCCCTGCAGGTCCCACAGTGTAGATGGGGAAGGTTGGACCTGGGCCCCCAACCCTGGGCCCCGTCAACCATGTGACCCAGGGCAGCCCAGCCTCCTTGGCTCCCAGCTTCCCTGCCTGCCTGTTGGGGGCTGTGCAGATGTCCTCTGGCCTCCATGATGGGCTGCTGTGGGTGTACAGAGAGCCTTCAGCTGGGGCAGGAGTTGAGATGGTACCCCAGTCCGCCCCACCCACCTTTGGCCTTCTTGCCACCAAAGCAGCTGGCATCATCCCGCCTCCGGCGCTGGGAGACTACAGCACTGCCCAGGGGCCCGGGCTCGGCCTCCTGGTACCTATCGGCCCCGGGCACCTCCTTGTGCACGTGGTAGGACAGGTTCCGCATGATGCACACGCAGTTCTCCACCGACTGCAGGGAGAGGTGAGTGGCTGGGGCAGGGCACCCTAAGGCACAGGGCCAGCCCTCAGGAAAGACTGGCCACAGGTGGTGTACATGAAGGCACCAGGAGCAAAGGGACAGGGAGGCCTCAGTCGGGGGGACAAAAGGGCGGTAACCACCAGGGAGGGTCCATGGGAGGAAGCCCCTGCCTCATGGAGCATCTTCTGCCTGCAGGACAGTGCCTACTTCAGTGTGGTCACTGTGAGGCAGGCCATGCCCAGAACGCCGCCCCAGACCCACAAACCCATTCCCCTGTGCTGTTCCCACAGTTCCAGCCTCCCGGGACCTGCATGATCGTCTCTCCAGCCCTTGGTATGAAGCTGTGACCGTCCCTGCCCACCTTGTTGTCCGTGTCCTTCCGGCCCACTGCCGACTGCAGGGCATGCAGGAGCGCGTCCACCAGCCCTTCACACTCCCGGAGTCGCCGCCGGGCCTCAGCACCATCAGAGCTCACATTCCTGTGTGGCCAAGAGCAGGTCAGGTGACCCCTGGCTATCACAAACTCCCCAGCCCCACTCTGGCCTCATGGGCTTGTCTTCATCTGCAAAACAGGCCCTTGCTGCTGCCCTCCTAGCACTATTGGGAAAGGACGCCACAGCCTGGAGCTCAGCGAAGTGGGAGAAGCGAACTGCCCCCGGCCTCAGGAGGGGAGCCCTGGCAGACAGCTGTCTTGGCTGGGGATAGCTGGGCAGGGGAAGACAGGGCTTTCCTGCCTCCCAGCTGACCTAGAAAGGGACAGGTAGACTCAGAGAGACCTGAACCTATGCATAGGCAATTCTGGGTCCCTCGCCACCCCAATGGCAGCTCTAGGCCCCACCTTACCCCAAGGTCAAGAGCCTGCAGGGCTGCGGGGGAACACCCTGATGGACAAGCAAGACTGTGGGGACCCAGGACTCTGTGGAGTCAGCAGGGCCTCCCAGGGGTAGGAGGGGAAGGGCAGAGGTCACAGGTGGCTGGTATGAGCCTCCCAGGCAGATGAACAGGGAGGTCCCAGCTCCCCTCTGGCTGTCAAGTGATGGGAAGGTAGGTGAGAGCTAAGCAGGGCTATGGTACCACACAGACCCCTCCAGAGGGTGCCCCTGGGAAGACTAGGGCACCACTTGGGGGTGAGTACAGCCCCATCAGGCCCCACTTCTCATCCACAGGACTTGTGCCACAGCTCTGAAGCTCCCAGGCTCTGGTGCTCCTAAGCTTGCTGCCATCTTCCACACTATCTGGGACCACAAGGACAGGGCCTGGTGTGCTTGAGGCTTTAGCACCAGGCCTGGTCCACACCTCAGGCAGCCCGACGTATTCTTGAAGACAGTTGTCCACTCAGCATCCCGTGGCTTGGAGTCCTCGTTGGGCTCACGCTCCCATCCTGAGTGGGGCACGATCACCTCATGGGTCAGTGTCTGCAGGCCATGGTCAATGATGACCATCTTCAGGGGCTCATATGACGACAGGTTCCACAGTGTGCCTGTGGGGTGCGATTGGCCAACCCGTGCTGACCATATGCACCGCCCGCCTACCTCCCCAGGTGGCCACGCCCAGGACCTGTCCCACTCTCCTCATGTCCCAGCTCACACAGAACAGTAGGAAGTAACAAAAGCCGTGAGTGGTTCTGAGGGACACCAGTACTGGTTTCCAGCTAGGAAGGAACCCCAAAGGGGAGGAGGTGCAGAGAAGGGTGTGGCAGTACTGTCCCGTCCCACCCATTCCCTGCCACACGGCAGGTGGCACTAACACTCCTGAGGCCACAGGGCCTCACAGAGACACGGTCAGGTGACCCTACCTGTCCCTCAGGTCCCACAAGGCACAAACCCCACCACTGCACTGTTGGGGTGGGAACCAAGGAGGCAGGTCCCAGGGGAGTTTCTGTGGGGGCAGGAGGTGAGGGGACATGCCTGAGGGGCCCACTGTCAGCCTCCTGCCTATGGTAGAGACTGGGGAGCCTGTCACAGCATCTGGGCCTGATGACTGGCTCCTAGGGCAAGCGTCTCAGTGGCTGCACTCCTGCCCACCGGGCACTCTCCCAGGCGGTCGCAGGCCACGTGGCCTCGTTCCTCCCGTGCTGAGCCTCGCACTCTTCTCTTCCCAGGGGATGTGGGCATGGCCAGGTCCCACTCACCAGTGACAAGCTCGCGGACCTCGTTGTCCCGGGCGGCCCGCAGCAGGCGCACCAGGGCAGGCACACCACCACAGTCCCGGATGGCGGCCTTGTTGTCAGTGTCACGGCCATAGGAGAGGTTGCGCAGTGCCCCACAGGCCCGGCGCCGCACCTCAGCCCGCGGGTGGTCCAGCAGCGCCACAAGCAGTGGCAGCCCCCGCAGCTGCCGTACACGCCGCTTGACACCCTCGTTCTCAAAGCACAGATGTTGCAGGTAGGCGGCCGCATTGGCCTTCACGGGGTCCACGGGGTGCCGCAGCATGGCCAGCACCTCAGGCAGCTCAGGGTCCCGCCAGCGCGGCTCCTTGCGGGCGCTATCCACTGAGGGCGAGCGCCGCACCAGCCGGTCCAGGCTGCCCAGGCTGCCCCGTTCAGGCTGGGCCAGGGGCGCCGTCACCGCTGGGAACGCAGGCCGTTCATCTGTCAGCTCGCCGCCATCAACTGCCGCGTCCTCGTAGGCCCTGCACAGGCAAGTGGGGTGCGTGGACATCGTCACAGCAGCCGCCAGCCCCGCCTCTGAGCTGCCCCATGACACCTTCTTCAGGACTGCAAACTCACCCAGCAGGGCTGGGCTGAGAGCACCTGCATCTCCGCCCGAAGCATGGTGGGGACACAGAGAGTCATGCACCAGCCCAGTGAGAACCAATTCATAGCCAAATGCCAAACCCCAGCCAGAGGCTATCAGGACCCAGGCAACCCTCCCAGGACAGCAAGCTCACTCACTGCTGTCACCAGGCAGTGTTCCCCGATCCCAAGCAAAACATGTTTCTGTGCGATATGTGCTAGGGCTGCTGGAGAGACCCACCTCCCTTCCACGAAACCACCCCATCTTCCATGAGGCCCATCTCTGGCTGTGTCAGGATGGAGAGGGGGTAGATGGCTCTCTCCACATGAAGCCATCCCAGTAGGACCACCCGAGGGGTGTTCAGGCCACCAGGCCCTTGGGGCACAAGATCTCCTTAACTCTCAGTAGCCCTGTGGGTTGCTGTCATCAAACCCATTGCCCTGAGGCTAGGAGTGGTCAGGTGACTTGGCCAGGGTCACACAACAGAATCCAGACCCGGGCTGTGGTCACGTCCCCACTCCAGAGATGCAGAAACTGAGGGCAATGGGGACAGAATCATGGGCTGTGACAAGGGCCAGGGCTCTGGGTTCTGGTTACCCAGAGTGTGGATGGAGCAAGGCTGGTGGTCGGCACTCTTCCCAGCTTTTCCTAGGCCCTGGGCCTGCAGGATGGTGTCCAGCCGAACTCCTACCACCCCAGGGTCCACCTTTCTTCTCTCCCTGACAAGAGCCAAGGCCAATTCAAACTAACGTACATGACTAACTCAACTGCAGCCACTTGACAAGTGGGGCACTCTGTAGTTGGGTGGAGGGTGGACTTCCCAGAGGAGGTAGCCACAGGGAACGGGGTGCAGCTCACCTGGTGTGAAGGCCCCGCCCACACTCAGGCCTCCTCCTCGTGGCCGTGCCATAGTCAGGCTCCAGCTCAGGGCCACCCTCGTCATCAGCGGCCAGGCTGCGCGTGTCATCCTCCAAGCCATACGGCTCTGCCTGGAAGCGCTCGGGCAGGGAGCGGCCACCTGGTGGCCCAGGCTCAGGACCCACTGAGAAGGCCTCCCGGTGGCCAGGCAGTGTGAAGCAGCCATCACCAGGGCCTGGGCCAAGGGGGCCAGCACGTGGGGGCCGCACACCCAGCCCTCGGGACAGGCTGCCATAGCTGGAACTGTCCCGGAGCTCGGGGCCTTCGGGAAAGCCAGCCCCGCTGCTGAGGTAGGCTCGAGAGAGTGTGGCTGCCGGGCCACCACCACGCAGCAGGAAATGCCGGTCCAGGGCACCATCGGCAAAAGGGCCTAGTGGGGGGCCGCCATCCAGCAGGGGGAGTCCGTCTGGGCCCAGAGGCACCTGGCGTACTGTCCGAGTGGTCACCGTCTTGACAGTCTTGGTGACCTGGTAGATGAATAGGCAGGTAGGTGGGGTAGCCCGAGAGGCCTAGAAACTGCTTTGTTGGGGCCTGGCTGGCCTTAATTTCCCACTCGAGCAATGAGGCCCCCGGTGGCAAGCTTCCATGTCCACTCTGCAGGTGAGACAGCTGCAGCAGCCTGGCCCTGCTCACCTACCCACTGCCTGGGCCCGTCCATACCTTGGTCTCGGTGCGCCGGGTCGTGCCATCTTCAGATGTGACAATAGACACGTGGGAAGTGGGTGTGCCGGGGTCCTCCTCCACCGTCACGGTCTCCTCCAGCACATCAGGCGCCTCCGGCATCGTGGCCAGTGAGGCCTGGCTGCCTGGGCTCTGCTCCTGGGGCAAGGAGGGGCACTGGTGGGCAGGCCTGCTGCTCAATCATCCCTGGAGTGCAGGTCCCCACGCACAGCAGCTCTGCCTCAGCTCGTGCTGGCCAGCACACCAGGGTGCCTTCCTCCTGGTCCTAAACCCACCCACCCCAGGGCCTGTCTCGGCCCAAGCTAGTAAGGACAGCAATAAGTTCTTGCCCTCTGAACATCAAGGTGCTAACCCTGCCCTGGCACCCCATCCTGGGGTGACCCTGGGGCTGGACCCCCATCCCACGCCTCCTCAGGCTGAGTTGGCAGATAAGGCCACAGACCCTGGGGGTGAAGTCTAGAGGGCCCTCCCCAAGCTGCATGGCCTGGCTGCCACAGGCTCCTCCAGGCCCCACGAGGTGCCAGTGAGACCTGCGGGATGCATTCCTGATGTCACCCGCCACCCCTAGCTGGGACATCATGGTGTCCTGGGGCCTCCTCCCTCACCTACCCCAGAAACCTTGAGTATAGAAGCCTTGTGGGGGCTGTTTCAGCACTGCCTACTGACTACTATGGCCACACTAAGGTTCCCGCCACCAACGCCAGCCAGACGCCCTCAAGGGACAGAAATACGCAGTTCCTAGAACACTCTATGCACCTGTAGCACCAATATATCCTTACTCTTTCCAGCCCAGACATTCTTTAGTGTTGTGTAGGCACAGCCTGGCCCTACCTCAGGCCAGTGGCTGGCGCCCCCAGTGACTGAGACTCTGGGCATCGTATCAGAGATCAGACACAGTGGATTTGAGCCTATGGGTGCCCTTGCCACCATTCTGCATGGGGTGACGACACTGGAATTCTAGGCAAGACAGCTCTGGACTGAGACTTTTCTATCCACATGCCTACTGACTAGACTTGCCAGTGGGAAAACTGAGGCTCAAAGAGGATAGGCTGGCCCACATCAGAGCCAGGCCCAACCCCTGCTGCGCTGAGTGGCTTGAGGACCTGAGACCCACAGCCTGCTCTGGGCCTCTGACTGCACAGGTGCCTGGCCCCAGGGCCACATGGCACCAACATCCGGGGATTGGCATCTAGCCAGGACGGGCAGGAGCTGAAACCCAAGCCCTGGTGGGTGGGTGAGGGGGAGCACATTCCCAGGCAGCCAGGGCAGGGTCAGCAGGAGGACAGGCCCCGCTCTGTGGCCCAGGCCCCTGGTCCCTGCACAATGGGTCCCTTGCCTGGGCCCCCTGGGGCCTGCACAGACACCAAGCTCTCTGCCAGGCTCCAGAGGGAGACTCTGCCCATTCTTGGGCCTGGGAGGTGAGCCTGGCTAGATACTCAGCGCTGCCCTCAGGACCTGCCTACCAAGGCCTGTGGGCTAGGAAGCCTCCCCAGGTCAGGGTCCTATCCTGGTGGAATACTTGACCCCCAAATGCACGCAGTGCAGGGGTCCAGGAAGGGGCCCGCACCAACATGTTAGGACAGGTGTATCCCTCAGGCTCACTGACAGAGGAAAGAGGTGGCCACAGAAGGTACCTCCCCCTCTCCCAGGGGCAGGGTCTTAGAGGATGACAGGTAACTTTATAGATGGGAAAACTGAGGCCTGGCAGGGGGAGAGGATTTACCTAGAACTTCACAGTGCAAGTGGGATTTCAAGCATCCCCAGAGAAGGCAATCTGGCAAGGAAGCCTTTGGGCCTCATCTCACCCTCAGTCTTGAAATGTACGTGGAATGCCTGGCTAGGAAAAGGGGACCTGTTCCCTGAGAAAAAGAAATAGACTGAGGCCTAGAGTGGGGACAACTGGTATGCCGCCACGCAGGGCAGGCTGGGCTCTTCTCCAAAGGCACTGGGGAGCTGGGACTGCTCTGAAGCAGGAGAAGGCTTGTGTGGCCCATCACTGCTGGGGCTGGGCTACCCCATCTGTATCTGGCAAATGTGTGTCAGGCCCTGAGCTCTCTCTGCTGGGCCCTGGGGGAGCTCATCAGAGTTCAAGCAGGTGCCCAGGCACCGAGGGGCTGCAGTTCTGGCAACAGGGTGAGGAGGGTATGCAGCAAGACTGAGGGGATGTTACCCAGGACACACTGCCAGTGGGATGTGGCCCCTCATAGATGCATATATTTACATCTATTAAAGACTCAGAGAAGAGCCCCCTCCTCCCTAGGTAGGCAGTGGGGGTAAGGGGGAGACGAAAAGGGGAGGACATCTCAGGACCCAGATGCCACTCTGTGGCCCAGCTTATCCCTCCCACCAAGGCTGTGGTGCAGGTCTGACAAGCAGAGCTGAGGTGGTCCAGGGGAGCCAGGTCCCCCCCAGCAAGACCTGGCAACCGTGCGGCATCACCCATCAGCCCCAGCCTAGCAGCTCGGCAGTAGGATCCCGAGGCCCCAAGAGTCCCTGCTGGCAAATGACCTCAGGGAGCTAAAAATGGGCGATGACTTCACCCGGGTGGCAGGAGCATGAGTCAGCCAGTGATCACAGGAAAGCCCGGCCCCCGCTACACATGCCCAGGCACACACACATGCATATACATGACCCCTCAGACAGGGACACAGGCACGTACATGTACCTGTGCGAATACCCAGCCTGGCACAGGCCGAGCACATCAACCTGTGTGCTCTAACAGCACCCCAAGGGCACGGCACCCACTGTTCCCTGAGGCACACTCGTGAGCACACATCCTCCCGTCCTCCATCGTGTGTCAAGACCCTTATCCAGGCAGGGCCTCACAGACTCTCAACACACAGGGACAGGGGCCACCAACTCTGCCAATCACCTGCCCAACATCCACTCTGGGAGTCTCAGAGCTGGCTGGCAGAGGGAGAAACTGAGGTGTAGAGTAGTGAGAGGCCCTAGCCATCTGGTGGCTCAGGTCTCTGCAACATCTTTAGGGTGGGGCTGTGGAATGGTGGGCTGATTCTCAACAGAGGAGTTGGCTGCAGTCCCTGGATCCCTGTCTGGCCCCAGTGTCCATGTCTGACGTGCGCCTGCCCAGACTGGCCCACTCTCAGGGACCTGCAGCCCCACACAGCCTCTGCCTCAGACCCGACTCTGGGCTGTTCCCCTCTGCACTCTAGACATGGGGTCTACCCTGAACACCCTACCTCCAGTCCAACCCCGTATGCTGCATTCTGTCAGTCGTCTCTCATCACCCCCTCCCCAGCCGGGGCTCCATCCTTGCTCCTCTTGCATCCTGCCCAGGCTCCCAGCACTCATCCCTCCCTTGGCTCTTCAATCTCTGGTGCACCAGGTCCGGGGCCCCCAGGACTGGCCTGGAAACAGGCTGCTGCCCAGGCCTGAGATTTCCCATGAGCTCCCTTGGGCTTGTGGGAAGGGCCAGAGTGGCCAGGGAGGTAGACCACCTACCCCTGCTCACAAGAGGGTCCCAGGAACACAGGGCTGAGCCCAGCATAGGGGCTCTGGGCCCCATCACGCACCTGGGGCTCAGCTTCTTCACAAGGAGGTGGGAATGACAGAGGGGGCTGCGGTCATGGGACATGCCGGGTAGCACCAGTCCCACCTTTGTGGCAAAATGCAAGGAACACAGGGAACAGAAAAGCAACACTGGACCAACACAGAGAGGGACTGCTGGTGGACAGGTGGCTGGGCCCTGGTCCCATAGCATTTATCTACCCGAACCGCGGGACTTCACAGATGTACAACCACAGTCTGTGTCCTGAAGAACAGACTGCAGGAGCAGGCTCCTCCCCTGTCCACGGCCTGGCTAGCACACACAGGGAATGAGTTAAAGTGAGATTGCACACCTGGATCTCACACCTGCAGGCCAGGCTCCCAGAGGGCAGGAGGTGGCTGCCATCAGATGGATGAATGAATGAATCTCCTCCATCCCCAGCATGGCCCTCCCAGGTAGAGTCCAGGACAAGCCAGGCTGGCATATTCCACCAGGCAGCAAGCCCTTGGCCACCACAAAATGCCCTTTCCCTTAGTGCCACAGCTTCTGACCAGTCTCCAGGACCTGGAGCTCACTCCTCCACACAGCAGTGCACCTGCCAGGGCGTGGCCCCAGGCAGAGAAGACAAAAAGCCAAGCTGGGGGAGCAAGCTTGGGGTGGGAGAGCAGGGCTGACTGTCATCCACCTCAGCCTCCCCAAGCTCAGCTCAGGGTCATCAGACACACTGTGACCATGGATTTCCCAAAAACCATTCCCTCCATCTCTGAGGGCCAGACTCTGGGGGCCACACCAGGGCCGTATGACAGGCAGGGGCCTGGCTACCCAGGTGGGCAGGTGTGTGGGAGACCTGCCTCCCACCACCGAGGGTCTTGGCTGGTCTCTCCTCTGCTCAGTCAGTTTCCCTGCCTATTACTGAATCCAGCACTGCTCAAAGCAGAGAGCAGACTGCCTATGCCTCCGCCCCCCCGCCCCGCCTCAATGCTGAGAGGGGGAGGACCCCGTTTTCCTTAGAGATCCCCTCCAGCATCCATTAGTGGGCAGGGCCTGTCTCTACCCCTCCCATCACGTGCGCCTCAGAGGCAGAGAAGACTTCCATTAAAGCTCCGGAAGCTCCTTTGCAGGTCCCGGGAGTCAGAGCCGGCGCAGGGGGTGTGGAGGGAAGAGGAGGAAGCCTCTCAGGGAGCAGAAGGCCTACCCGGGCTTCCCTCTTCAGACTCCAGCCTCCTTCCTGCACAGACAGAAGCTGCTCAGGAAGGCCCTGGCTCTCCACCCGTGTCCCCAGGCACCTGTCCTGGGCGCTGGCCAGGAAGCGCCCATCCGGTCCCGGCCAGTTCCAAGAGGAGGGTCAAACTGCCAGGGGTCCCGGCCCCCAAGGACCCGGGGATGGGCTCCACAGTCCCCACGGCCCCTCCTGCACACCCGGGGGCACCGCGCTCACACTGCCACCCCGCCTGGCCCTGGCCCTAGGCTGACGCAGCCCAGCCAGGGGCGCAAGACAATAGCCGCCTCGGGCCAGCGGCTCCGGCTCCGCGGAACAAAAGCTGGTCCTCCCGGGCAGGCCGGCGCCCCGCCCTCCGCCTCCGACCCCTGGGCCAGGGTCCCCCCAAGCCAACTTCCCTCCAACCTGTCTGAGTTCGGCCGGCATCGGGCCGGGGCTCGGGGGCTCTGGCCAGCGGCTGGGGTGGCTGTGGCTGGACCAGGCTCGGCTCCGGCGCCTCGGCCGCTCGGGCTCAGGCTCGGCGGACTCGCTCCCCGCGGGGGCGGATCTGGCGGCGGTCACGGCGAGCAGCCAATCGGGCGGGGCCGCGCCCAGGTGGGGCGTGGCGGGGGCCGGGGCGGGCGTGGCGGGTGGGCGGGGTGAGGTCCCACCCCATAGAGACAGGGGGTGGGGCCTGCAGCCCCGGGGTCGTACCCTGTCCACCCACCACCCCCACTCACTGCTGGCTTGGGCGTCTGCTCCCTCCCCTCCCCGCGGCAGGGGTGTCATTTTCCCGCCGAAAGACTTTGGCCAAGTCCTTCCCAGGCCTCGGTTTATGACCACACTTCACTCCGCCTGCTGAGGGGGAAATAGTTCCGGCAGGGCAGGTGCCCGTGCTGCGATGGACAGAGCGCAAGGCCTCCCTCACTGGCACAAACCTGGCTGCGACTCAGTTTCACCTGCCGTGAAATGGGGGCCGGTGAGACAGCAGTCACGGTCTGCGAGATCCCTCCAGTTTCCCAGATCCGCCCCTCACCCTCCTGCCTAGCCGCCACTCCGAATGGACCTGCAAGGAACTGTCCCCACAGAGTTCAATGGGGACCTGGGAAAGGGCCCAGCAGGGGACCCCCACTTTGTATCTTGGGCTCTCCCCATTGAGGCACAGAAGCCCGGAGTGCACCCCCACCGCTCCCCCAGGCCAGCCTCAATGTGGGCCACACCCTAGGGAGTCTGGTTCTGCTGCGGTGAAAAACGGGATGGGAAGGGCTGGGCTGGAGCCACCTTCTTATGTCAAACCCCACAAAGGCCAAGCCAATGGCTCCAGCATCACGAACAGGGAAACAGGTTCCGAAATGAAATGAGCTGGGACCAACCCAGAGAGGCTCAGTGGGTCTGGAAAGAGAAAGGGCTCGGGCCCAGGCCTCCCACTGGCTTCTCCACGGACCCCTCAGAAAACAGCCTCTGCAGGGACCACTCCCTGCTGCCCTGAATGCCATATACAGAGGCCACTCGGCTAGCATGCTCAAGTTTCTAGGTGCCCACCGTGTGCCCCTCTGAGTCTCAGTTCCCCCACCTGCAGAGGGGTGAGCTACCCTAGTATTGGCCAAACTCCTGTATCTTGCATCTAGGGCAGACCTGCCTGGAACCCCTGGAGCAGAGCGCAGAGGACCAAACACTGCGCCAGAAACGCACCCGCATCTTATCTTTAAGCTGGCTCCATCTTCTCAACTGCACCAGTTGCTAGTGCCCCAGCCACCTACCCACCTCAGACGAGCCCAAGGCAAGTTCCCTGATGGCACCCCTCCCCACCAGGTGGGCGTCAGTCCTGCTTCAGCTGGCTGTCCAGAGGAGGGGCCCCTTCCTGCTGGAAGATGAAGGGCAGGTAGCCAGGATCCTGGAGCAGCCCCGTGAGTGCAGGAGCACTCCCCCTGACCTGGTTCCCCAGCCTCAGCCCCCAGCTACCTGCCTTGCCTGCCATTGCCCGGCTTCCCAAAGCCCAGGCTCTGACCCTGTGGCTCAGCAGGTAGATTGCTAGGCACTTCCTACTGAGACCAATCTGGGAAGCCTGGCCAGCCCAATGTGGCCCTGCCTCCCCTAGTATCCTCATCAGCCCAGCCAGTTGAGCTGCAGCCCTGGCAACACATGCTCTCTTCAATCCCAGCCTGAGAAAATCAAGGGCAGGGGTGGAGTGGGGCCGGGGTGGGGAGTTCAGGGGCAGGGGTGGTAGGTGGAGGGGCAATAGCCCGCGGTCTTGAAGTCTTTTGCTTGAGGAGGTCAGGGTAGCTCCAGGCTGTGGGAACATCTTCCCACCAGGGCATCAACCCTCTGGGGTGCCTCGGGTCCTCCCACACTGCCTGTCTGAGGACTGTTCCGGTCTGGGAGGGTTGGACTGAGCACACTGGCGCCTGAGAGGCGGCCTTGGGGTCACTGGCTTCTACTGTCCCCATGTGGCCCAGCTGGGCCCAGCATTCTGCTTCCCCCGCTCAAGTTTGAGGGTACAGGCCTCACATTTTGGAGTATCTCAAGTCTGAGGCTGTGAGGGTGGTCCTAGCACTGAGACCCACCAGAGGCCTCTGAGCACCAGGGGTCATGAAAAAGGGCCCCCCCAGTGAGTCTCAGACCCTCTGGGGACATTAATTTGGCACTGACCATGCACTGGTGCTGGGCTGGGCCTTTTATGAGGATCTTGTGAGCAGACGTAGGAAGTGTGACTTGCCTGCTGGCCAACAGGACACCAAGACTCAGGGAGTAGTCACCAACCCCAGGTCCCTCGGCCTGACACAGGCTGCTGGTTCTGAGCCCCACATGCCCCAGTCAGGTGAGGAGAGCCCATGGGGCCGCCTCCACAGAGACCAGCATTTGCTCCCTTTTTCTCTAGACGAGAAGGGCCAGGCTGCCCCAAGCTCCTGGCATGTGTGTGCCAGGCACAGGTTCCTAGAGTCAGAGCCCAGCAGGACCAAAGAAGGGCGGGTGGGGGTGCAGGTGCTGGGAATGTGCTTGGGGAAGTCTGGTTGCTGGGTTTAGAGGGGCAGGGAGCTGAGCCAGGGAGACAAGACTGCTGGGTGAGCCCTCTTAGGGTCACTCTGTGAAGAACCCAGAGGCCACAGCAGGAGGCAACCCCCCGGCCTCTAAGCTGGGTGGTAAGGAGGGCCCCCCGTATCAGCGGCTGCTGGGACAGCTCCACCCTGACTCCTCACTGCACTAGGCCTCAGTCAGTAACAGGAACCATGATAATCACACCACATCCCAGGTCTCCCTGCATGTACTTGTTTCAGCCTCCCAACCCCAAGCCAGGGGCCCCTGCTGTTTCATCTACAGGTTAGAGCACTGGGGTGCTGGGAGTGGGGTGTCCCAGTGGTCTAACTGTTCACTGCATACCCCAACTTTAGAGTTCTTAGGGCCTGGCCATGGAACACAGAGGGCTCTATACCTCCTGAGGCTGAGTAGGGGCCTGAGCCCATTCTGAGGATAATGGCCAGCAGAGAAAATGAGGCTCCCAGGTCAGCCTCTAAGCTGCAGGCAGAGCTCTGGGCCTTGCTCCAGCCTCCTGCTGGGGCTGACCCACCAGAGCATGCAATGAACACCGTAGCAGGGTTAGGCATGGGGCAGGCAAACCCCTAAAGTGTCTCTAGGTAGACCAAAGAGCTGCCCAGAACAGACCCCATCCAGCTGCCTGGGCCCTGAGGGCTCAGGGGAGGGTGCTGTTCTGAGTGTTGGGCTGTGTCCTGCCCACTCTTCACATGGTACCTAGCATACCCAAGTGGGTCCAGCCCAACCTGGGATCCCATTTTCCTTTCCTCCCCAGGAGCCCCATCAAATCTTGCAATAAGCAACTGCATGCTGGCTTGTGGTCCACCAGGACCCACTGATTGTTTTCCCACTTGGCAATTTTCACCCTTCCCAAGTCACTAGGCTGTTACCTGGAGGACCAGCTGTTGCCAGGCCATTGGCAGGGGCTGCCCACCGCCCATGCCACCACTGACCATGCCAGGCTGCTGGGCACGCTCCAACTGCAGGGCAACATGGCGCCGCTCCTGCTCCAGTGCCCGTGTCAGCCTCTCGAAGCGGGCCTCCTGCTCCTTCACCGAGGCCAGGATGCTGGCGGCCGAGTGCACATTGCAGTCCTCCATGACCAGGGCGCCCGCCAGCTGCAGGCAAAGCAGAGCAAGCTCAGTGGGGTGGGGCACCAGCCTGGCAAGGCCATCATGGGCCCCTGCCCGCCCCACTCACAGACCATACAACTCACTCCCAGACCAGAGCATCCAGCCCTCTAGAGGGAAGCACATTGATTAAATTCTAAATTAAAAGTCATTAATCCGAGGCTGTCTGGAAGCAGCGGGCTCACTCCCCATGGGTCACAGGACTCTGACCTGGCTCCTCCACTTCCTGCTAAGGCCTAGCAGAAACATGGGCCGTGGGCGGCTTGGAACCCGCTGGGAAAGGCAGGAAGAGCTGGTATGATGAGAGCTTCCTACCTCCCAGGCCCTCTGCTGCCCATAGCACATGCCAGCTCACCCTCCATTTCACAGGGCCACCCCACTCCCATCTCACAGAGGCAGATGCCAGGGCCCAGAAAGGGTGGGGGACCATTTGTAGCCACACAGCAGGTGTGGCATGGCCAGTGTGGCCAGCAAGCAGGGAGTGAGAAGCTGCTCCACTGATGGGTGCCCAAGACCCTGAGGCAGGCACAGGTGACCATAGCCTGAGAGCTCCCGGCAACATTGGTCTGCAGACCAGCAGTCCAGCCTCCACTCACATCCACATTGGCCAGGAACAAGGGTGGTGCCTGCTACACGTGACAGAGTGAAAACTGAGGACAAGCCTGGTTGAGGTTCTGGCTGGGGGTGCATGAAGTTAGAGATCCTAAGCCGGGAAGTGGCTGGTGTGTGTGATGCCTTATCCAGAAAAGGGCAGGGGCCAGGCATCGGAGGCCAGGCACAGGATGGGATTGGGTGTGCCGGGCCCAGCCCAGTGTTGCCCTTCAGGGCCCCAGGGGAGCAGGCAGGGGCCGTGAGGGCTTGGCAACTACAGTGACAAACCAGCACTTTCCCTCCCGGCTTGCTCCCTGGCTGCCCAGGATGTTTGTTTTTCATGGGTAAAAAGAAGCAGGACAAGTATATGGAGCTCAGATCCAGGCTCACCGCAGTGGGCAGGGCATAGCCACGAGGCCACACTACCCGGAGCACAGTGAGCATGGCCCAGTGCCCAGGCCTGCTCAGGCATCCTCCTGGCCCGTCCCGCCAGCCTGCTGAGGCTGACTGCTGGATCCCTTGCCCTTGCACCAATATAGGGCCCTCCATGGGGAGGACACACATGGCAGGTGACATCCCCAGAGGATCAGCACTGCTGCTCACTGGTCTGGATGGAGCCAGCCGCAAGAACAGAGCCCCCAAGAGAAAAAGCAGCGCTGAGCTCAGTTGCACCAGCGCTGGCTGGGCCAGCAACACGGTGCGAAGACATGGGTGCACCTCATAGGTGAAGAGACACTGTGGAGCCCAGCACCACCAACAGCTGGGAAAACAGGCCCAGCAAGGGCGAGAGACCAGTGCAGGCCCCAAAAGCTGCTCTCCATTTCCGCAGCACCTGTCCCACAAATGAACTGTCAACACGAACTTTCGGGAAAGCCAGCGTGAGTGGAGGAGCTGTTTTAAGCCAGCCACAGAATGGAAGAATGCAGGGAGAGCTGGGGGCCGCCACCCGAGACTAAGGTGCAGACTGGATGCTCTAGCAAAGGGAAAAACAGCGCTGCACACGCAGAGCATGGTCACACGGCTCTTCTCTACACACCTGATGCTGTCTACCCACAGGTCCCAGACCCACCAACACAGGGGAGCCTTGTGCATGAATGCACTGAATCCAGTTCTGGGCCTGAGGTGGGAATGGTAGGGTATTCCCCCTGGGAGGGCCAGGGCAGATGGCAGGGGCCATGTCACTGGAGCCCCCAGCCCAGTCCTGGCTGTAGCACAAGCCCGTCTCAGCCGAACCTCGGAATCAAGGGGCAGAAGGGAATGGGATGCAGCCCTGGATGGCAACAATCGGGACCACAGGGTAGTCATTGGCTTCGTGGACCTGGGCTGGCTTACTTCCCTCCCTGTGCCGAGACGTGGACCCTCACCTACACCACACACCCCATCCCCCATGTAGCAGGACCAGGCTTGGGTCGCAGACCCTGAGGACAGCTTCCCTGACCTAAGCCTCTCCAGCACACCCTGGCTCTGGGGTCTACAGATGCCCACCCTAAAAGGGCCCAGTGGCTCTGGCTGAGGGATCAACTCCAAGGCCACAGTGGGAAGGTGACCAAACCCCACACTGACCTTCTCATTGCCCAACTTGGCTCAATTGGTGCAAAATCACCATGTGTCTCCCTGGAGACATCCAGAAACACTGGCCAGTGTTTGGGGGGAGAGTCCGGCAGCCATGCTCAGGACAGCAGAGACCTCGGTGCTGGGCCTGTGCCATCTGTCCCAGCTACAAGGTATGCCCTGCATTTGCTCTGGGGGGAAGTGCCCTGGGCCCGCAGGTCATGGCCTTGGCACCTCAGGTGTCTCAAGAGCAACCCGAGGCACACTCCAGGCAGAGCACGGAAGGCCCAGGTCCACTCCTCTGACATGGTAGCCTCTGGCCTATGACAGGAGCCCATGTGGATACAAGGGATCCCGGCCCAGAACCATAGAGGGCTGATTTTCAGATGATAACTCAAAATGCTGCTTTTATATTCAAGTAATATATCACGTCAAGGAAAGCAAAATGTGCATGGATTCTTAAGATCGATGGGGCCTGAGTGGATGCTGGGCAGAGTGGGCACCAGATTTACTTTTGCTAGAGCCCAGGAGAGCCTTGGGGGCAGGCTGGGAAGGGGGACGCTGCAGGGACCCTGGCTGTCCTCTCCAGCCAATGCCACCTTGGCCTCCCCTAACCTGGGAAGAGCCCAGCATTGCCTTGTCGGGTGGACCCCTCACGACCCCCCACCCAAAACACAGCAGCCAGCTTCATGCCCAACTCTGAGGAGGCCACTTCTTGCCAAACATGTTGGCCCCAGGAGTTTACTTAGCAGCAATGCAGGAATGACACTGCATAGTCCACCAGTGACCAGACTTCAGGACCATGTGGACAACACCATGTTCCAGCCAGAAAACATCAGGAACTGAAGAGGGGTTGGAAAGGTTGGGACTAAATTGAAACTCTGAAAAATAAATTGCAAAACAAAAGTGACGACCCAGCCCCAGCAACAATGGACATTGGCCTGGACCAAAGGGGGGGTCGAGAGCCTCCAGGTACTCTCACAGGACGAACTGCTGGGCAAGCAGGTGGCCCAAGGAGAGAAGCATGGCAGGAGAAGAGGGTGCCCCAGGCACACAGCCCATGGGAGACTAGAGGGAGGGAAAGCAAAGGAGAGATGGGGGAGGATGGACAGACAGATGGATACAGGGATGGATGGGGGATGGATGAATGAATGGAGGGTGGCTGGGGCAGTGGTGGAAGATGGACAGAGGGATGGACAGATGGATGGATGGGTGGGGGGATGGTGGGGGATGGACAGATGAATGAATGAATGGGTTGGGGGGATGGTGAAGGATGAACATATAGATGAATGAATGGATGGGTGGGTGGGGAGATGGTGGGAGATGGACATATAGATGGATGGATGGATGGATTGGGTGATGGTGGAGGATGAACATATAGTAGGTAGGAGGATGGTAGGGGATGGACAGAGAGATAAACAGATGGATAGATGGGGGGATGGTGGGGGATGGACCGGCGGATGGACAGATGGGGGAATGAGGGGTAAGAGGACAGATGGGTGAATGGATAGGCGAGTGGGTGAAGCAATAGAAGGGTGGACAGCTAGTTGGATGATTGGATGGGTTTATAGATGAAATGAATGGATGGATGAGTAGTAGATTTGTAGGTGGGTGGCTGGAGGGATGGGAGAAGAGGCCAGATAGAAGGGGGTGTAACTGAGTGAGTGAACAAATGTGTGGACAGGAGGCTAGTAGGTGGTTATATAAGAAAATGAGGGGAGATGGGAGGATGGGTGAATGGTGGCTAGTTGGATGGGAAGGTGACTGGATGGATATGGGTGGTGTTGGAGGGATAAAACGATGATGGAAGAATGTGTAGGAGGGTGGGCAGATGGGATGCTGAAGGTTGGGTGGATGGAGGAGTGGATGACAGAGAAAATAGAGTGGGATGCATGAATGGAAGGGTGGGTGGGCTGTGTGGGGGCTGGTGGGCAGGAAGGAAGTGCTGGAACCTCATTAAGTGGAGAATGTCCTGGCCCCCAAACCCTCTGGGGCAAACCACAGTCAACACACACCGTCAGGAACATGAAGGCATGGTGAGGAACCTGAGGGTAGAAGCTAAATCCTTTCCCTGAAACCAAAGCTGACATTTGACGTCTTCTTGCCAACCCAGACATTCCTCCTCGGGAGTGCAGCCAGAGCCTTGTCCGGAAAATGAAATTATGGGGCCCGAGTCCAATGTGGGTTGAGGAATTAGAGGAATTTCCGAAGGGTCAGGCCAGTGAGGGGTGGCAGGCGGGGCCTAGCTCCCATCCTGACCCCTTGCCAGCTGTCTACCAGGACACAGCCAGGGCTGCGCTGGCCCCCGTGAGGGGAGAGAGGGGATGGATGACCATCGAGCTTCCTCCCACACCCCCTCCCCCCTCCACCCATCCCTACGAGGAGGAAATGACGCCAGAAGTGCCCTGGCAGGGCTTGGACCCAGCCCCAGCACCCACCGTCTGCCTGGGAGGACATCCTGGGAGCTGCCAGCACAGAGACTTGCTCCCCACCCTAGCTGGCCAGGCCTTGTGGGGGCCCCATGTTTACCCTGTTGCCCCTACTGTGGTCAGATGGTGCCCAAAGCCTTGCGGGGAGCTTCTGGCCAAGCCCACTGGCCAGGCACTGCACCCGAGCTGGGACAGGGCCAGAGCCGAGGGCCTGGGGTGTGGGGTTCACAGGGCAGAGTCCACACCCATCTGTGCCAAGGCCAGGACCACAGTTCCTTGCAGACTGTGTTGGGCCTGGGGTGCCTGGGCTGGGGATGACAGTTCTCACTCTAAGCAGCAGAAGGAACCCCTAAGGAAAGATGGACAAGCGTGACTTTGTGAGAATGAAACTTTCTGTATAAAAACAAAAAACAAAAA